TATATGATTGCAAGAATCGAAGGTCTTGTGGGCGAAACGAACCGGTAACGTCACCTGCCGTCCAAATTGTCACGTGGCTAGATCTGACGGCCACGAAAAGGTTTCCTCGATATGCGACCGCTGACCTCGATGAAGAAAGCGACGGAGAGACTCGGCATGTCTGTGCGAGCCTTTGGTGCAAATGGAGGACCGGATAAGGCTACCTCAACAGTCTTGTTCAAATGCAGTACTCTAAAACAGGCGTACAGTCCCTCGCTAGCACGAACATACTAAGCACTGAACGTTGTTTAGGTCCAACCTGCACCGAGAAAGATGCAAATGCATGTGCTAGGTGCTGTCCTAACCTGCCAGCTGGCCGTTAACGGGCTGTAATAAATGGAAATCAGAGGGGATTGATCGCTCCCATGGTAATCTACTGATGTTTTTCTCTCCAGAACAGCCGGAGAAGGTGTTGGAATCGAATTTATAGATTAGAAGAAAGGAAAGAAGCTCGGCATTACCAAGGTGGGATTGTCACCGGCACGAAACTTTCACAGCTCGGTCCGACGGGACCAGTTGCTGAAGCACTTCAGGGACCGTGAACCATTGCCCGAGATGCGGGAAAAATCTTGGATGTTCGTATGCCTCGATCACCCAATCATGACATCAACACAATGAATCATACCCCCGGGCAAAGGTGAAGGGCAGTTGTGATGCGTTCCGGCCTTCGAGATCCCCAATCACATCATCTGTGTCTTTTGGGCCACTCTTGAATCATTATATGGAATCTTAGAAAATAGCAAGTAGCTATAGGACCACACTCAAACATAGTGCAATCAATCAGACTTTGAACTGTGCTTTACATCAGAAGGCCATGTATAACCAGCCACAATTCATGTTTGATCATGTTTGATTCTTTCTGCATATCCGTACAATCAATTTGACAGCGACCGCCGGCCAATCACGTCGTCTTTCACCCCCTTAGACGGGAGTGCACTGAGAAACAGAGAGACTCGACAAGTGACCTTCTGACAACGTGCGAGCGAGCAAGAACAAACATGATAGCTTTCTTGTTTGAAGAATCTCCTGGCTTTGTTAGAAAAGACAGGTGACTTCAGCTAAGCAGGGCCTCTCAAGTGCACGAAGCAGCTCGTAGAGTTTGAATCGTCTACTCTTCCGCTGCCAGCTCTTCCGAATAACGCTCAGCTGACCCATGCTGGCCGTACGTATCTTCCAGGCACAAACGGAACGGAATCATTTGGAAACGACAGCATCACGTAGGCATAGCGACAATCATTCCGGCGAACAGTAGCATAGTCCTTTCTCGACCCCTTTTACTGCCGACCAACGCTCCTTTCTGACGAATCTGGCGCTTCCCTCAACTAAGATCCAGTGCGAGCTCCGTTCAAACGTTGCCCAGAGCGGAACGCAGGCCGCTGATTTGACGTAGTCTGAAAACGACGAGGCGATGATGCAGTTGTGCCTAGATCTGGCATATGTCTGAGAGACCCTTAAGCGAACCGATCGGGCTCATTCGGGCCAGTCGGTCGTATACTTCATTAGGTGGCGCCATGGCTCTGGCTGCCAAGCCCGCGCGCTATGTCTGCAGTTGGCTAGTCTGGGTGGCCGCTATTACAGTGCTGTCCCTCATCTCCAGGAGCTATTTCACAACGCTCACCTCAATTATGAATCCACTGAATGCCCGTCTGAGAGAGGTATCAATCGCAAGGTTGCCAGCTGGAACCCACTTTCGTCCGAGCCTTGACAAGCGAATCGCTCTGGGGAGTCTCACTCCCCTTTCTCCCCTGATCCAACAAATGGTCACACAGGCTCTTGAGGAGTACTCACTAGACCCAGTTTCCGCTCCCACAACGCAAGTGGGCTTCGATCGGGGGACCGGGAATCGTGCCGGGACGTACAGATTATTGAAGGCAAGCTGTATTACGAGCACAGGGGAGGGAGGTTTCCTTGGGAATTTATGCATTTCCGGTACAACATGCGACTGGAACTGATCAGCGAAATAATGCGGGACATTGAAGATGGAGGTGACGTGGAGTTCCTGTTGTGCCAAGAGGTGGGTGCCAGCGCGCGCGCGCGCACTTGACTGTTGGCCGGACCCTACCCGCTTCAAAGTATGTTTCCAGTCATCCCTAACTCGATATATCTATCTGAGATGGAGTTGCAGCTTGTTATGAGATTTACTTTGAGATCTAATTCATCTGAACCACTATCTGAACCCGAATTACAGCGGGCATCTGTCACGTTATTCAGCAATCCCTCAAAAGAATGTTCGAAACAGATTCGCTTCATGGCGCTGTTATCAGAAGTCCTCTAAACAGAATCAAAGCCTGGCAGGATCTGTTCTCTACACGACGTGAGAAGCTTCTCAAATGACTGTGCGTCGAAACGAGGAATACTTCCCGTTTCAAAGTGTCTCTCTGTTTCTCTATAATCGTATCCTCCGTAGGGGTGTGTCGTAGTTCAATCCACCGTATTCATGACAATGGAATGGCACCGGTTGATAGTCAAGCTTTCATTCGTAACCTGTGGCGGTCAGGAACCATTTTGTCCATTTTTTCGCCCTCCGAGGGGTAATACTATGACGTTCGAAGATAGGCGTATACTGTTTTGAAAGCACTGCAGGTCACGGAAAAAAGCCCTGGAGAGACACTCGGGTGAAAGATCTCGTAGATGGTTCAAGTGCGACTTGACATTAACGGTAGACGCGGAGGGCTTTTGGTGGGCCAGAAGAGTGACGTGGTTTTGCAGCAACGATGCACTGATAATACGAGGTACAAACGGCTGGAAAAATGACCTCAATGTCCGTTCGAAGCTGCTGACTAACCCCCTTTCTTGCAGACGCTGGGTTGGTGCATTCTCGTCTGTCGATCTTCAGCTGTGGTAACCGTTGAACATTTTCGGCTGAGATGTAGAACGCAGGAGTTCCATTTTCTTCTCATAATGATCGCTTCTCCACGCCCAGGACTGCATCGTGACTCAGAGACAGCATCACCCCGCCAGAGTGTCTGACGCTGCTGACGTCAGCCTTCCGATCCTGAACGTCGTTTCCTGCGACGGCTCCGCTGACATTCCCTTCCCCTACTTCGAGCACGTGGACGGGCCCCCGCGCCGATGGGCCGCCGCGTTCGAGGACGCGCGCGCCGCGCGCGCCGCGCACTCGCCCGCGCTGCGCATCCGCAAGGCGGTCTTCCGGGGGGGCGGCGGCCGGGGCTGTTTCCTAGACGCAGACGACCGGGGGTGGGGTGGAGACAAGGTGGCGGTCAGCGAGGACACGTGGCAGCGCTGCGGCCGCGAGCGGCTGGTTTTTCTAGTGCGCGCGGGGTCGCGGCCGGAGCTGTATGACGTCATGCTGTCCGACACGGACCAGGTAGGGGGATTTCGGGAGTGGGCCGCGGGGATGGTGACACGTGGACGGCCGCGGTTGTCCCGGGCGGAGCAGGAGGCGTACCGGGCAGTGATCCATGTGGAGGGCAACTGTGGGTGGGCCAACCGGTTGAAGCACGAATTGCACATGGGGACGGTTTTGCTGAAACAGCGGACTCCGTGCTGGGAGTATTATGAGCTGGGACTGCGGCCGTGGGAGCATTTCGTGCCCGTCGATTACAACCTGAGCAATCTGACGGCGGCGATTGAGTGGGTTCTGGCGAACGGAGAGGAGGCGGACGCTATGGTCAACCGGATGCATGCGTATGCGGACGAAGTGTTGGGTCCGGATCTGAACGGGATGAAAGCGTATACGACGGGGGTGCTACGCGGCCTCCAAGGATTGGTGCGGTATAAAGTGGAGAAACGGCCAGGAATGGCGAAATTCAGGGCGCAGGACCGACTCCTTGCTCTCTTAGCGTACGACAACGGATCAGAGAAACAAGACAAGGGCCGGTTTGGTGGCACCGAAACGGTTGAGAAGGATAGCGATGACGAAGTGCGCGCATCCGGCAACGAATTCAAAGTGGAAGAAAGAGATAGAAGCAGAGGGCGGAGCTCCAGTGGAGAAAGGACAGGCGCCGTGAAACGTCTGGAGAGCCTCGGGCTGACGACCCATGACTCGGGCAATGCGCGAGTGGCCGCGTACAAGATTCTCTTGCGGCCCAGTTCTGAAGGAGCGCAGCCGCAAAATTTAGCTGATACGGAAGCCGCTAGTAATGAAGCTCAGAGGGTCGTTAATGGGGAGCCATCAAGCTCTGCCGATTCTGCAGAACAAGTTACTTCCGGCGCCTCTAGTTTGAGCGACCCCGGTCTTCTCGACGGGTTCGAAGCCGGGTTAGTGCTTGGGGCTAAGGAAGCCCTGTCTACCGATCTTATGGATCTTAACCGCCTCAATCAGTGCAACATGCTGGTTGACATGGATAACTACGATCTCCTCCTGGTAGGGGGGTGGAGCAACTTTGTGCGCGCGCGGACGGAGTGTGACCTGGCACAGAGGGTGTACCCTTGCGCGGTGGAGGACGTCAGCAAGAGTCTGGTCGAAGGGACGCTGACAAATGACTGCTTCGATGGGTACGTTGTGTCGGTTCGTGGAGCCAGGAAGTTTGTTGACCATTTCGAGAAGGAGGAAGCGACTGGGGACACGTGGCAAACCGTCGACGCGTGGCAGGCCGTCGCCCAGCGGGTGCCTGTTGTTGCAATTCAAGCGGCTTGGTGTTAGGAGTTTCAGGCTGGTGGAAGTCGGACACTTAAGAGCACTCAGTTTCCTTGAAACTCTCGTTGAGTTACTTCCTATCAGTTGATCGTGCAAGGGTTAAGAATGAGCTCGGGTTTTCTTGGGCAGGTGAAGAATCGACCGATTCCCATCTGTTGTCACCCGGCCCCGCTTGGCAGTCGAAATGGTGGTCAAAGTACACTTTGCTCTCCACTTGAAAGCAGAACAACATCGATGCCCTAGCAAAGCATTGGCAGTGATTCAGAGTGCTTCCGACTCGATGCACTTCAATGCTAGACGTGGCCTCATGAAGAACAACCAAAACGATGTAGAAATAGATCATCAATTGTTCGAAAATCTCAGCCGAGCCACGCTGCCAACGGTGTTCGATCTAACATAGAGCGTTGAAGCGTACAAAGCTTCCCGTAATGGGTTTTGTCATGGCATGTATTGCTCGTATGTCACGCGCACACAATGATTACCGTTATGATCATCTTTGTGATCAGCTCCCGCGAGGTTCGAAGTGCACAAGCTGGGGTCCGCCTTCACGACGACTTTAAAAATGATAGAAGCGTGCTTTCAAGAATGCTTGTGCTGAAGCTTGTTCTCATGTTGCCTGGCAGGCCAACTTTGAAGACTGGGGGCGAGATCCACTTCATTGTAGTCTTCAACGCGCCAATCCGTACCACTTCAACATGATGGTTGAGCTGCTGAACGATGGCATGACAATAGCCCAGCAGGGCTACTTTGACGTGGATCTTAAGAGGTTAATTTCGTAGATTTCCTTGCTCTGGTTTTCTGCGCTCTTTAAACTGCTTCAATTGAGCCTACTGCAGTACTAAAAATGGTGAGAGAGCGTTGATTTTGAGAGTGACTAAAGTAGCCTTGTGCTTTGAAACTTCCACCGTCTGGTAATTCTTGTTGGCAACTCAATGAAACAATGAGCACATTTGCAACTCTCGTGGTGCCACGACGTTGCTCAAGTAAGGAATTCAGTTTATGGTCGCATGCCGGGCAGTAACTCGATTTCAGTAGAGAAACGTACTTTTACCACGTTGCTTCTGCGATGCTTTAGCATCCACTCAACTACGCCACAAAAATTACTCAAGCCGGAACGGTCAGGTCTCACACTACAGGTCTCGTCTAATTCTATGTTAGATGTCTCATCATTCTCGTAAGGAATCCTACTCTGCAGTCTTGTATAGCAAAAGGAAACCCTTGTTGTAGCCTTGTTTTGCCTTCGGCCTCCATGAAGTTGCTCGGATCGTGCTAATTCGCAGCGTCGATCTACCGCGGACAGCGGTCGTGTGTCGAGGGAAACCTCTTCGTTGCCGTCCGATCCTGCCACTTGACAGATTGGACGGCAGGTGACGTTACCGGGTCCATGTAGCCCACAAAAGCTTCGTTTCTTGCAACCGTATAAAGCTCGACGGATGCTGGCGTGTCGCATCAGATAGCAAGAAGTCGCGTAGAATTTTCTACCCTTCCGCCGTGAGCCCCTCCCGGGGGGTGTCTGCTCGCTGGGGGTGATCCCCCGACGTTGAGGCCGAGGGCCTCCGTCTGGCAGGGGGGGCTCCTTCGGGAGCTCTCTCTGGCCGGGGCAACGCCCCAGAGGCTTAGGAACCACTCCTCTGCCGTCTTCCCATAAACACTCATTTAAACCAACTATCCTCTTCAGAATTTTAAGATCATTCCATTTTCGTCCCATGTGGATATACCCTTTTGCATGAAACAAGTCTGATGTGTTGTTCAGCCATCGAGTTACCCCGTCAGTCTGGCTTGCTTTGGCAGCTTAATGAGAGAATTTTTAAAAGTGCCTCAATGCCTCTGAACACCGTACCATCAACCGCAATACTACCGGACGAAGTTCGCACCCTTACAAGCATTGCACAAAAGCTTTGCAAGCAACTAATTAGTATCCCCAGCAGCCAATTAGTCCATTTTTGCATTTTAACGGAGCGGTCATTATAAGCGCGGAGTAGTATATGATGAAAATATGATGATTCTGACGTCATATACCTTGTAGGTTCTACTGAAATCTGAAACCCTCTCTTATATGACACGCGACCCGATCGAAATGGAGAGTTGAATGCTTGAATGCCATGTGCCTATCGAGTGCATGGGACCGAAAAGCCTAGGCAAAAAAAGGTGGCAAAAAGGGTGGAGTCCTCCCCATGACTCGAACCCTTGTTTGTTTGGTTTGGGGCCAGGCGCTTAGCCTTCGTGTCGTGGATACATTATATTCTCGAAGCGCATTATATCGGCCACTTACAAAAGAATATAATAATCAGGCAACTCCAGATTGCTCCAGATGGTTTTGGAGGAAGCGGGCTGTAGAATTGGGTTCATGGTAGGTCCTGCCTGAACCTCAGACAAGGTCGGATTATTTCGCTCAATGTATTGAAGTGTTCAAAACTTCTTGCAACATGTATAATAGGAGCAGTAAAGCCATTAGATCTGCAGTCTCGAAAGAAGCAATTTGCTAACGTGTTGCTCGGCAAGGTGCGTGTAGCTCTTATACGGGAGAACAGAATGCTCTACGCCGACAGTGAGGACTGTGTTTGTTCAAAAAGTGGTCGGAACTTCCAACCTTAAAACACGGTAGAGCATGCGGCTGAGATCGAGGCCGCGATATCTGCGCTCGATTGTCAATATCTTCATTACCGCCACTCGTTTCAGGAGAAGCGACTCTTCCGCAGATGCTTTTACACATTCTAACATGAGCAGATGTAGCAACTAAGGGCACGTGCAGCTTCATCCACTCGAGCTGCCTTCCAAAAGTTCAAGCTTCTTTCGCTCGGGCCCATACGGAAAGCAAAGCGAGACATATGCAGCCCAAGTGTCGGTCAGAGTCGATGGATTGAATCAAGCAAAAAATGCTGAAAGCCTGAAGCTGCGTGCATTGCTTCTGGTGTTAGCAGACGCACTAGCTTGCCAGCCCGTTCCGGCCTCAATATAAGCATGTCCGCCGATTGACTTGCACTGGTAATTTGAACGCATTTGCTGCACTTTGACTGGCCCCTACGATCGTATCGACAAAGCTTTCTTGCAGAATCTTCCTAGCAGGCTGGCGCTATGGACGTGCAAGCGCTTCAAATCAGCAGATCGTCTTTCAAGAGTCTATATAACCGTATTAGTCAGTGTGTATACACGAGGCTTACACTCTCATCTATTACGGCCTTCATGTGATTATAGGTTGCTGTAGGTGTGCATGCCGTGCCGACGCAGATCTAGCGATTGTCGTTGACTTGATTGCACTCCAGTCCCTCGTACTCAATGTCTTTGAAAACATGACAAGCATCAGGTGTGCATAACCCACTCGCAGTGACGCGTGCGTGGGGCGTGACACATTGCACGGCGCGGGTGCATCAAGTCTATGTCTATAGCCTTCGCTCAGGGAGACACGCGCGAGGATAACCTTCGTTTCAAGAAGCTTGAGCAGCTTGTGTGGTCAACAGAGTGCCCATCAAAGCACGACACTTGCACGCACACGAAAACTGTGTGCAGAAACGAACAACAGTAACAGCTGTCAAGCTGCCCCTTACTCCACTTGACGGATTGGAAAACGACGTTACTGGCAACTTTTCCTTTTCTATCGACCTTCTTGTCAGCTTTTAAGTCGGTTTTCTAGCAAACTGTCTAATTTCCTAACGGAGTGTTCTTGGGGATCGATCGGGCGATGGCGCAAAGACCGCGCTCCTTTGAGGGGTCGTGATTGTCCGGAGCTCGTCAATTCGCCTCTTCTCCGTCGTGATCCTAGCCTGCAAGAAAGAGAGAAAAGCGATTCAATCGTTGCAGCTAACGGCGGGTCCAATGTCTCGGACCAGATGTTTGCTGTGTTCATACTGATGTCCCTAGCATATCCAAAATCTTGAAGTACGATCCCCTTACCTGACTCCGAACTCTTTATCCACTCGATAGTATCCAAGCCCTTCAATGATTTGGCGAAAGAGGACAAAAGGAGCCAGTCCAGTCGGCCACTCTCTTGACCACGCTTGTTACCAAGAAAGTAAACAGTAGCTTCGAACGAAATGTGAAATTCATGCCTTTATCACAATTCGGGCCGCTTGCTTCATGTTTCCTCAAGGAGAGCAATTCACCATCGTCCCGCAGCCGCGTCGGAAAGCAAGAAAACACATCACAAACGCTCCTGACCTGACAACACAGTAAGGCGGAGAGGCTGACAAGGACGAGACAGCGCCATTTGGGCAGCGACGAAAGTCACCCAATGCTCCAAAGCAAAGAAAGAGCAGGCACGAATTCCATGCTACTAAAAGTCCTGGAAGGTCCTACAGGCCTACACCTTAAGGTCCGCTAGCCCCCTTCCGGGCGCCTCGCCACACACTCTTTTGCACAGATACTCTGCCCTAAGACATTACACAAAACAAGGAATCAATCACAATTGTTGCCACAGAAAGCCTGCCCTAAGAAGTCAGACAAAAACAAACAATTGATTACAGATGTTGAGGGATGGGACGCAAACCGGATTTTGGACCAACATACGAACCCTGAGTTCGAGACTTAGCCAGAAAATCTCTGCCCTAACAACAGCACAAACAGGAATCAAACACCCACTTCGAGAGAAGTAAGCAGATTCGGACCCCGGTACGTACCTTGAGCTTGAGGTCCGCGAGCTCCCGTTCGGACGCCTCGGCACGTGCCACCAGCCGGTTGACCGCGTCCATGGCAGCCTTTGCGCTGGGCACGTCTGCGCCGACGGGCATGCCGACGGCCGCCCGGGAAACGCTCTTGCAAAGCTCCGCCAGCTGGGCCGCCAGCTGGAGGGTCTCTTCTTGAGCTTCCTGCAAGACCGGGTTAAGGCTCAAGGTTAAACAAGGGTTACGAGAGGTTCAAACTTAGTTGAGATTTCTAACTGCGCGGAACACAATGAGAAAGATCTGCTGGAGGGTCTCCTCCTGAGAAACCGGAATAAGTACGGCTTGGGACAAGGGTGAAGAGACGAGCGGAGACAACTGAAGGTCTCTTACGGCGAAAAAAAAGCTTCTAAAGAGTCCTGCTGGGCGGCCGGCGGATGGCTCTCATTCCTGAGCGCAACTGGGTCAGAGGGTTGGTGTCAGGGAAAATTTTGAGGGCAAAAACCATTGTCCACTCAGAAGTTCGAGATGCTGTAAACGGCTTTGTAGACTGTGACCCGCAGGCCCACTTTGTATCGGTGAGCGACACGTTCGAAGTATAAGCAGAGCCCTTATCATCTCGGATGGTCTGCGAAAAATTGCACCATTCCTCCTTCTGCTCCGCCTCTGAACGTTGCGCAGTCAGCGAGAGCCTCGCACCTCGGACCACTCGCGACTCTCCCAAATGACTCTTCAAATACACGCTCAAAGTGGCAGCCATTCCTTCTCAGCGACCATGCCCGCAGCTCCCAAGCCTCGGTGTCGCCCTCACCTCCAGCTTCTTGCGCAGTCTCCGCTCCTCGTCCACGTTGATGTCCGGCGGAAGGCCGCGCTCGGAGCGGAAGCGCGCCACCTCCTCGGCGAGCCGCTGGTGGTGGTACGCGTCCTTGCGCGCGCGCGCCTCGAGGGCCTCCACCTTCTGCCGCAGCAGCACGTTCTCCTCCTGCGCCACGTGGCAGGGGTGACGTCAGCGGGAGAGAAAAGTTGAGCCCCTTTAACCTCGTCGTATTCCTGATTTGACTGCTAAAAAGCGTGTGAAATGTGGTTTGCACCGCAGAAACCCGGGAAGCGATATCTGAAACAACTCTACCGCTTCGCATCTCCCAACCCTCACCGTTGCTTCCGGCACCTTACATACCTAAGGTTACGGTACCTACTTTCATGCCCCCTGTTATCATCCAGAAAATAGATGGCCCAAAATCTGCTTATATCAAGGCCTGATACAAGCGGTTTAGTTCAACAGAAGAATGGAGGAATTGACCCGTGTGTGGTTTAAGGCCCTTCGATCGTTCTCTGACAGAAGAACCTGAAGGTGAAAACAAATCGTTTTCAAGGCCCGTGTCACTGTAGCTGGCCAACAGCGCCCGGCCCCTAATCCGGGGGAGCGGGGCCCACCTTGATTTTGGCGTGGTGGTGTATCCTCTGGCTCAGGTTCTGCTGCCCCGACAGCTTCTTCACCTCCGCCTCGAGTGACGTCACCTTCTTCGTCAGCCCCCCGTTGCGCTCCCTCAGCTGCTCGTTCTCGCCACTCATCGCCTCGTGGCTGCGCTTTAGTTTCTCGGTCGCGACGCGCGCGGCCAGGGCCTCGGCCTGCCGCCGGTTCATTTCCTCGAGCCACCTGGCAAGCGAAGAATTGAAGTACTGAGGAATGGAAGCTTAAGCTTACCGAATTCTCAAGGAGAGGGGAGATCGGCCTTCACTCGTCTTCTCGGCTTCATCGAAGAAAGTTGAGTCGAGGGTTGATAGGATGGTCGCACTCGAAGCTATGGGCCTTTGGAAGAGAGCAGAATTCCGTCACTTTGGTCTCCTTTATCCATTTTGAAGGTCAAGAGTTGAAGAGGGCAAGGGCACATTCAACAGATTTCGCAGACGAGCTCATACGTTTACAGCGCTACAACTCTCGCAAAGTGCTTCAACTGGTTGAGATCTTTTGCAATCGGTTCGATCCAGTCATCAGAAACTTTCGCCCCCTCACTCTTCTCGCTCCGCCAGGAAGGCATCCATCTGCCGCCGCAGCTCCTGTAGCTCGTGTTCCTTGGCCCTCAGCGCCTGGGCCGGCCCCCCGGGCAGACTGTTCCGCGTGGAACCCGGCCCGAAGAGCACCCGGGGGATCCCCCCAGCCAGGGACGCGCGGCCGCTCTGGCGCGACGACGAGAGCGACGCGGCCTCGGTGGGCGTCACGACGGGATTCGGCGAGGTTTGGGGCCGCGGCGGGGTTTGGGATGCGTGCGTGATCTTGAGGCCGACCATGTCGCGCACCATGTCGTGCGTGCGGCCCTCCGCGGCCGCGAGGCGCGCGTTCAGGGCGAAGAGCTGCAAACAAGCGGAGGAGGGGGCTTAGAAATACACTTCTACTAGGACTTCTGCTTTCGTGCATCGCTTCGAAGAAAGGACGGAAGGGAGGGTCTAGAGGAGGTTTAGATCCATCAAAATGAGGAGGTCCCTAACAGTGGCTCAAACTTGCAACAGATCCACCGAAAGGACGTTCAGAGCGAACAGCTGCAAACGGGTTGAAGAAAGCTTGGGCATATGCCTTTGCTAGGAGTTCTGCTTCCGCTCTCAGCTTCGAAGATTCTTAACATTGGACGTATGAAGGCAGGACCGAACGGGAGGCTCTTCGCGGAAAGGAAAGGGTCCTTAACGGTGACTTGATTTGGGTCCTTTTTCGGCTGCACCGAAAAAGACGTCCTCATGCAGACGGGTGCGCAAGGAAGCTCCGCCATTTTTTTTGGTCCCAACATCTCACTTGCTTCCTAAAAAGCTTGAATACAAAGAGACTCTTGTGCTCGTTTCAGATTATCACAGAAGTATCTCCACGGGCAACGGGCTGACTTGCCCTTACTTGCGGACTTATTGTATCTCGGCGCGCTACTCACAAACCCTCAAGCCCGTAACTCAGGTTTTCGACTGCTGACCTGCTTTTCTCTGCTGTCCGCCAGTTGCTCCAGTTCCGCCACCCTGTTCCGTTGGATCCGCAACTGCTCCTCCAGACTCCGGACAGCGCCCTTGATCGCGGGTGAGCCGTTCAACTTGGAGGCGATTCCGTCGGCCTCCCTGGACGGACTTCCGTTTGGCGAGCCGGATTCGGCTGCGGGTGCAGCGGAACGACGGTGGGAGAGTGCGCCGGGTGTGGCGGCGGGAGCGGGTGTGCGGCGAGTCGGGGAAGCAATCTCGGCGACCTAAAATATCAAAGGGACATAAGATTTCAAATAATGAAGACAGACAGTCCTTAATAAGACGACACCATGCATTTTGCTAGTGAGTACCTTAAGCACGGCAGTATTGAACGATCCAGAACCTCACTTGCTTAACTAAGAGGAATGTCAAATTCTCAAATCAACCTGAACTGTGCAAGCTCTTGTGCTGCGGTGAGGGATAGCGAGCAACGTTGAACTCGTTGCAAGACCCCTTCTCTTGATTTTCACAGAGGACATCCACTCAACAACATATTCGGAAAGCCTCCAGAACTTTCGCCCCCGCCCAGACCGGCTCACAGTGTCGTCCCTGACCTGCCCCTGCAGTCGTTTGATGCTCGCGCCCAAACCCTGCACGATCTGCTGGTGCTCCGCCTCCCTCGCCGCGCCCACCGCGCGCGCGCGCATCCCCGCCAGCTCCCTCTCCTTCGCCTCCAGCGCCGCCTTCAGCCGCTCGCCCGCCTCGCGCGCGCGCGCGAGCTCGCGCTCCTTCCCGTCGTGCGCGCTCTCCAGCTTGCTCAGCTTCGCGCGCACCTCGCCCAGCTCGCGCAGAACGGTCGCGATCTCGCTGCCTTTCCCCTCCGCGACCTCGCGCACGCTCGCCAGCTGCGCGCGGGCGCGCGCGAGCGCGCGCTCCGCTTCGGCGCGCGCGCTTTTCTGCTGCTCGGCCTGCTCGAGCGCGTGGGCGATCTGGGACTGGAGGCTCGCGGCGTGACGCTCCGTCTCGGCGAGCTTCGCTTTCAGCTCCTCCGTCTGCAAGAGGGGATAGCATCAAAACCCGCATTCAATGGATTTCAGAATTTCTGTCCATCTGTAACAGAGATCCTCCGCTTGGCATTTTGCCCCCTTGCAAGAGAGCTCAACGAGGCAGCAAAAGAAAGTCTGTGGCAGCGAAAATTTCTCCGAGTCGTGCTTTGAAAGGTTATGTAGACATGGCTCAACGCCAGGGGTTGTTAGGTTGAAAAAAACATTCTCCCAAGAACGATAAAGCTGTGAAGCATGTTGATTGCAATCGGTCTCTCACTCAGCAGGAGCGAATATCAATCTTGAGCCAATCCACCAAGCAACACGTGTACGCGTGTACGTCCATCCCGAACGGATCGAAAGGAAATTTGCAAATTACCGATCCGTTTATTGATTGGTTGATATGAAAAGAAAGAGCATCAAGAGGTTTGGTCAATGCCCACCTCTGCTTCCTGCTCCTCCAAATACTCCTTGGTGCTCTCCGCCATTTGCCGCGCTTCCCGCTCCACTAGTTCCTTCTCCTCCACCTGACGCTGCGCACACGCCAACTGCGCGAGCAGGCTGCTCCGCTCCCGGGCGGCCGCGGCAAGACTGCCCTCCAGAGACGCCACGTGTTCGCTGGCGGCTTCCTCGGCGGCCGCCGCGCTCTCTTCCAACTGCGGAGAAGAGACACGCACATAAGCTTGTTAAATTGCTAATTCAATGCTTCGGTACCCCTACCTGCCCTCCCGTTGACACGACAATAGTGAAATTTCTTAGCAGTACAAACTCATAATTACATTGAGATGCTGCAACTAAAGAAGTTGATAGGAGAAGAGTCGAAGGGTTGACGCTGTTAACATTGCTAGGAATTGCACGCTTGACTGTTAGGTGAGTACCCGTAGATAAGTTCGTCCGTCACAACATGTACACTATTTCTTTGCCTTGTGAGCCCGCAAGAAACCAACTTGTGTCCAGATCATTGGAAGTCGTCGAGAACCTCTTGATGTACTAGATTGGCTCTTAACGTATCGATCAGGAGAATCTCCTTCTTCGGCCTCTTGACCGGAACCATGACTAGGTTGATTTACGGGCTGGTCAACCCCAACTTATATCCCCGTTCCGTCTCTGCCTTACGACCTTTCCACACAATTTGAATGGGTCTCGGGTTAGAAAACACGTGACCGCCGTCGGTTGAAAAGCATGTAATTTCTTTTCGTGGAAAGCGACGTCCACACAGTCACTGGCTCATCAATTCCAAATCAAGCAACAGATGCTTGGCCAACGGTTTCGACCCATTGCCGAAAATGAAACTACAGAAAACCACGTCTCTCCTCACCTCGGCGAGCCGCTCTTCCAGCCTCGCCACCTCCTCCCTCTTCTCCCCCACCTCTAGTTGCAACTTCTCCAGCTCCCCCTCTAGTTCCTTCAACCTCCTCTCATCGCTCTCGCTCTTCCGCTTGGCCTCGTCCAACTGCACTCCGAGAGCCGCCCTCTCCTCTTCCCCCTTGCCCGCCGCTTTTTGGACACGTGTCAGGCTGTCGTGGTCCCGCTTGTGCTGCCGCTCCGCCCCCACGAGCTGGTCCGCGAGCGCGGCCTGCTCGCGCTCTTTCTGCTGCAGCGCGGCCGCGGTCGCGCGCAGCTGGGCGGACGCCTCCTCGAGGCGCTCTTGCAGCATCTACAAAAACGTATTGTGGCTTCTTTCGTTTCTCGTTCCACTTGTATTTTTCTTCTAACCCTGCTCGTCTTGGATGTCTGACCAATCTCGACCTCGCTTTCCTTCCAAACTGCATTTCTCTTTTCTCATCTGCAGGCAGTTCTGATTTACCAAACCGTTATCTCCACGCAGGCTAACGCGACTGGAAAAGGACGCAAACAACATCCAAGAACCAGCGGAAGACTTCTTTCTTCGCGCGGCTTGGAGACACCATCTTCTATGGTAGAGAATCCTGACAAACACAAATCCGAGTGCCGATAAGGTGTCACAAGCTTCGCAAAGGTCACAAAGACCTCCAAGGCTCGTTCAACTCACCGCCACGAGCTCCTCCGCCGCGACCCCCCCCTTGTCCTGCACCGCCTGCTCCACCTCGCGCGTCTTCTCCTCGATCGCCGCCTCTAGTTCTTTCACGCGGCCCTCCAGCGCGGACTCGCTCTCCTGCGCGGCATTCAACCGGGCCTGCAGCGCCGCCACAGCCTGGGCTTTCTCGTGCTGCTCGGTGGACACCTGGCAAAAGGGGATTGAAGACGACATTAGGTCCTACTTTCGGATGATAAGAGTAAGGAAAGACAGTAATCAATCGACGGCAAGCATAGCACTTTGTGCCGACTTCTCTCGACGTATCCTGTTGTCAAACAGGATTCGATCCCCTAGGATCGGTCGTTCTCCCTCATTCAAGCACGAGCAAGAAGGCCATGTAGCGACATGGAGAAACACACCTTTCCAAACGGCTGAGTAAAGCTTCCGCCCAATAACACGCAAATCCGCCTGCATCTTTGGGGCGCAGATGCAGCAGGTGGAAAAGTTTGGACGAGGTTTTCTCGCTTAGGGTGTGAGATTACCAAGTGGATTGGGAAAATGGGGAAACCGCACTTCGCAAAGGGGCCACGTTCTCCTCCATGATTTTATTCGCTGCTCCTGCCCTGACTCCTAGTAAAGCTGAAAATAATCGTTCAAAACAAAATTGATACCCAACTCACCTGTTGCATCTGCGCTTTCGGTTGCGCCACGTTCTCCTCCAGGAACTCCTCGAGGTGCAGCCCCCCCCGCTCGTGCTCCTTCTCGGCCGCCTCCAGCCGCGCGCGCAGCGCCGCGATCTCGCGGTCGCGGTGCTCCTGCGCCTCCTCCATGCAGTCCAGCTTCGCCTCGTCCGCGGCGACCTCGTCGTCTGGCCAACCACCTAACTTGTCGCCGGACGCTGCAGATTCGAAAACCGGTTGTCAGCTGTTGGTTATGTTTTAGAAGATCTTATTATATTCCCCCAGGGTGCGAAAAAAGCCATCTCGTCGTTGGTGCGAAAAAAACCGTCCCTTCGTTTGGCCACCCGCCGGACTTGCCTTCAGACGCGGGAAAAGTTCAAAAGTCAAGTTGTTGGCTTACCAAGGTTTCAGGGAGTATATGGGTCTCATGTTTAGGGGTTTAATATAAGACTAGAGGGTGCATGGAGCCATTTTTGTCGTCGGTACATCCGCCGAACTTGACCGTCGGACGCTGCAGAGTTAGGGTTCACTTTATCGGCTACCAAGTACATTGTTCAGGAATGTACGGTTTTTGTCTAAACTTTCAAAATGCATGGAGCCACCCCATCGTCCGGCCAGCTGCCGGACGTGCCGCAGAATTCAGGAAAAATGAAGCTCAGATCGTCAGCCCTGTCAGTGAACGATTCCCGATCGGGGCGTTCCTCCAGAAGCGTAGAACACTCACAGGCGATCCCCTCGGTGGCCGCCAGCAGCCGCTCCTCGAGGCACTGGATCTCGGCCTGCGCGGCGTCGTGCTCGGACTCGAGGTTGGACAGGCGCGCGCGCAGCTCGCGCACCTCCGCCTCCTTGTGCTTCTGGGCGTCCACCAGCCGCTGCAGCTCCTCAGTCGCGTCGCCCAGCCTGAGTAGAGTGCGGGAAACCGCTAAGAGATGGATCTCCGCTTGTACGAATCTTTGGTATACCGCTCAACGAGCTTTCGCAACGTGCGAGTCGACGAACGTTGTGTCCGGTTGAATATTACATGATACACGAGTCTTGGCCCGCCTCGGAGGGCAAACATCTGAGAAAGCGAGAGGGGGACTAGAGTTCAGAACCAACTGTTGAGTAAAGTTGTGGTCCAGAACATCGGATGCGGTCCCGCCTGCACAAAACACATTTCTTCCTGTCCATCTCCTGCTGTGTGATTTTAATCTGGCGACAACAGCAACAAATCTACACCCTGGCACTAGAGGGGACTAATATACGTCTTTTTGAGTGTGAGTCAATGGAACGTCTATGTAAATGCGGATCGGTAGAACGTCCAAGCCACAACAGAGAGGGAAAATGGAGAGTCGGTGAGCCCGCGAGAAAGCAACGCATAGCATCATCGGTCCGACAGAGGGCAGAATCCTCCGTCCTCCAAAAGCTTTCCTCCGTGAGCTTGTCGTCTGCATATCCCACGACTTTGAGCCGCACCTCCGCTCGAGCGACTGCATGAATTGTATCCCCGGCCTGTTTGTGAAGCTCCCAGCATACTTCTCAAACATAAGCGCTGAATCATAATGATCGGTGCACTCCAATCCTCTCTGCTAGGAGTAGAAGAAAGAGATTTCGCGGTCACCTCTGCTCGAGTGATTGCATGATGTGCTCCCCGGCCTGCTTTGCAAAGCCCTCTGCATAATTATCAAGCATGAACACTAATCGGTACACTTCAACCTCCCCGGCTAAAAGTGAGGCGAGATTTGGCCCGCACCTCTGCTCGAGCGACTGCATGATGCGCTCCCCGGCCTGCTTCTCCTTCTCTGCCGTCGCCAACCGGTCCAGCGTCCCCTGCACCTCAGCCTCTCGGGCCGCGTGCTCCGCCATGGTCTGAAGCAGCTGCTTCGTCACCTGCAGGTGACGTCAGCACTACGTCAGCCACTGAGCGTTAGGAGCTTTGCTTCAACCATTGAAAATGCATTTTCGCAAACTTCCATTCTCGCCCAAGCACTCGGGGAATTGAAACAGGTTGAAAGTTTCAAAAGCGGAACATCAAGCTGAGAGCGAGAAAGGGACGAAAGTCGAGAAATGTCAAGCTGCAGGTTACGATGTGCACCAACCAGAAAGTGATGTCAACGAATAAAAGCTCCAATCAACGCTCTTGATGCAACCGACCAGGTTACAAAGCGTCATTACGAAGAGAGATTTGAACTAGGTGACCGGACGCCCCGATAGCCTATGCTGACATCCCGATATCCTATGCTTTTCGGACCGTTCAAACTCACCTCGCTGAGCTGATCCGCCATGGTCTGTTCATGAGCCGCCACGTCGAAGCCAGGGAAGCCCTCCCCCTCAAATTGACACAGCGTCTCGTCATCCGTCATCACCACGGAATGCCCGTCGGGAGACGTCCGAGCGCGCCCGCGGTGCAGCCGGAATTCCGCCGGCGGAGTGTCCGTTCCGCCCGGCGACCGGAGCGCCTCCAGCCGCCGCAGCTCCGCGCGCGCCTGCTCGAGCTCGCGCCTCAGTTCGGACTCGCTTGCGGACACGTGTCCCTTCTGAGCGCTTTCGGACACCTGGCCGAACAGCCACGCGTGGCGCTTTTCGGACACGAGGGACGCGGCGATGTGGCGATCCTGCGCCGCGTATGTCTTCTCCGTTCGGACGTCCGCAATCTGCGCGTGCGCCGCCGCCAGCTCAGCCCGCAGCGCGGTTAAGTCCTCCTCCATCTGACTAACCCGCTGCTCCATTTCCTGGTTAACCTCCTCTAATTCCGCGTTCACCGCCCGCAAACTGTCCCCCTCCTGGTCGTTAACCCGGGTCTCCTCTCCTCCCCACGGCACGTTTTCCGCGTCCGAAAACATCGACGTCTCGCTGACGGCGTCGCAGTACCGGTGGTTGGGCGTCGCATTACTGATCTCCCGCAGCACGGGGGCCCTGTTCGGGCCGGAGACGCCCTTTTTCTGGGCCTCCACCTGCCGCTGTGCCGCCGACAGGGCCTCCTCTTTCTCCCTTAACTCCTCCGCCATCTCCTTAACCCGCTCCGTTAACCCCCTTTCCTTCTCCGCCAACTCTTTCTCCTTCTCCCGCAGCGCGCGCTCGCGGCCGCGCATCTTTTCCACCGCGGCCGCCAGTTCCGCCCTTTCCTCCTCCGCCCGTTCTGCCGCGGAACGGGCGGAACCCAGCTTCTCGCGCATCTTGGCGACCTCGCTCCGCGCGCTCTCGACTTCCTCGTTCGTGTCGCGCATCAAACTTTGGAGCTCCGCTTCTTTGTGCGCGAGCTTTGCGCGTTCTGCTTCGAGGCTTCCCCAAAGCACTTCTTCGACCTCTTCTCTCTCTTCTTGGGCGTCCCGCACAGCCGACTCCGCGGCCGCGATCAGCGCCTTCTGTTCCTCGATGTCGCGGCCGGCCTCTTCTAACACGCGCTGCTTGCTCAACTGCGCCAAGAGGACGACGAATTTCAATAACAGCCGATACCAGTGCAAAGTGAACCTTTTACCGAAAGACCACAGTATTTAAGAACGGTCAATAACATGTAACCAAACCTTGGTAAGGAATACGAAGCAGGCTAGCGAGCTGATAAAATGATGAAGTGTCGGGGTTGTTAGGATATTTACCAAAGAGGAAGAGATGGAAGAGATTGGACGGCTGGTCGATCTCAGGACGTTGACGAATGACCGGATACCTAGATTGTTCATAGACCGCGCTCTCGTCTAAAAAGCCTCAATCGCTTTCAGGGCTTTGGCCAAAGCCGTCGATTGCCCAAGTGGCACCTGGAATCTTAAGGCCTGTTCGGATAGATTCCAATCTTTCAACTTCCATAACATACCGCAGTGAATGTCGAGAAATTTCGACCTTACCTCCGCTGCGTCCGCCATCTCCTCCGCCTCTGCCAGCGCCACCCTCATCTCCTCCACGTGCGCATTCGCCGCCTCCAGCGCGCGCGCGCGCGCTTCCGCCTCTCTCCTCGCCACAGCCACCGCCGCCGCTTCCTTTCTCCTCGCTTCTTCCACCAGACCCAGCGCCTTATCCCGATCCGCCAACGCCGCTTTTAAAGCTTCCTCCCACGCCTCGTTCTCGCCGTCCCGTGCTGCCACGTGTCCCCGCGATGACGTTACCTCGCGCGACTGCACGAGCACAGCGAGCGCCACCCCGAGCGCGCGGCAGCGCTCGGCCGAGGCGTCGCGGCCGGCCTCGGCGGCTGCCACGTGGCAGGCCAGGGTTTGCAGCTGCTTGAGGGTGCGGTCCATCTCGAGGCGGATCTTGCGGCCCTCCTCGAAGGCGGCGTCGGCATCGGCCGCCAGGGTTTGGATCGTGAGCGCGGCCGCGGTCTCGGCCTCTGAGCGATGGGCGTCCATCTCGGCCTCGCGCTCCTGATAGCAACATGCTGAAATGTTTCAGACAGTGTAGGTCCTCGGCCAGCAAAGTTGACTCGTTTGCCGCGATTCTGCTATTGCGTTTGAAATCATATTGAACAGTCTCGACACAAAACGTATCTTTGAGGAGATAATAACGATGACAAGATTTCTGAAAGCTAGGATGGAACCCATTGCGCGATGTTGGTCCTAGCGAATGGTGGTCGATGACAGACGAGAAGCAGAGCCGAGACATTTAGTGGATGAGATGCAGACTCAAATCATCGACAATCCAATCACTCAACGTGCGGAAAGCAAACTTCACATGAAACTAGTGAACCTCGAAGCGACCTCTGCATTAGACCAATGGTTGATTCATAAAAGTTTGATCAATGGGTTAGGATTACGTATTATCGACACGAAAACGGCAGAGGACCCCACCTGCAGCTTCTGCCACGTGTCCTGGAAGCCCTCCTGCAGCTGCTGCTTGAGCCACTGGCTCTCCGCGGCCTCCTTCATCGCCGCCTCTAGTTGCCGCGCCAGCTGGCGCATCTGCGCCTTGGCCGCGCTCTTCACGCGCCGCACCGCCAGGTCGACGGCCGCGTCGCCCTCTAAAGCCCTCAAACCCTCCTCGCGCTCCAGGTCCTCTTGTAGAATTTCGACTTCTTCGTCGCGCGCCAAAAGGCGCTCCTCCAGGGCGGACAGCTGGCGCTGGAAGTCGGACGTCCGAGCCAAGAGGCGGGCCTAGTCAAGAGGGCGATGACGGTGGTTGAGATCTTTGTGGCCTCTTTTGTTCCCCTTGCTTTTATGGAAAAATCAAGGTGTCGAGATGCGAGATGAGTAGGATAGGTGAAGAGCTTGCTACGTTTGAGAAATAAGTACCCGGTGTTTGTCGCTTGATATCCCTGAGTCTACTGATGAAAGCAACGGATGGCGTGCGCCGGAACAGTCTCCACTGTATTCTATAATGAAGGCAATATGAAACCAAAGAGTGAAGAACGCAGATGTCGCCACGCAAAGCTCCGCACAGCATGAAAAGTACGCGGGCCTCACGGCGTAACCTCCTCTCACCTCTAGTTTCTCGGCGTTGCTCTGATGCTCCTCTGCCGCCGTGACCGCCGTCTCCAGGTCCCGCGTGAGCCCCTCAAGCTGCTCTTCTGCGGTCTCCCGGGCAGTTTGGGCGTCCAGAAGGCGGCCGCTCAGGCTCTTCATGTCGCCTACCCAGTCCGCTTCCTGTCAAACAAGACAAGCGAAGTTTGCGAACGTGAAAAAGTCGGAGAAGGGCTTGAAATGGTGGAAGGTGGGCGTGCCGAAGGTTGTAAGCTTCGGAGGTGATAAGCATCTTAAGCAAGAGAGCGGGAAGCTTTACAGTTGTTGTTACGGACTGATACAAGGAGGAGAGACGTTCGAATATACGACGACTTCTTTCAGAAACTCAGAGCGGCTGTCTCTGTCTGTCTACTGTTGGTTGCTTGGCAGCACAGGAAACAGTACCCCTACAATCAGAAGCGACGCGATATCAGAGTGTGCGGTGACCATGCCTATATAATTTGCGCCTCCTTCATCGTACCGCCTCAAATCGTTCGTCCATTGAGGAGGTAAACTTTCAGGGTTACAAAGTGCGTATTGCCGTCCTTTCAGTTCGATGCCCACTTCAAGGCACACAATGTACAGCTTCGTCTGAGCCCGTCCCAAAACTCTCGCGATGAATGCCGTAGGACTGCAAGAGCCGCTTTCGGTCGAAATGCGTCCGCACTAGATCAGGCTACCAATGACGCACCTTGCTCCTCCAGCCTTGCTCTTGGCAGTCCGCCGCCTCCGCCAGTTCCCGCAGGGCATCCACGTGGGCCTCTTCTGCGATGGCCATCTTTTGCTGCAGCGCCTCGCACTCCGCACGCGCCTCCGTCGCGGCCGCCTGCACGTCAGGCACACGTCAGCATTTTGAGGCCGCTCCCAAACGCGTCTTCGCAGGACGTCAAATTGCATATTCGCGGAGCATGCCCAATCGGCACCCAGTCTGAATTGGTGCAGTTCACTCGCTAGAGCAACGGAAGACAAGGTAGGCTTGCGTGTGCTGAGTGAGCTGATCTCATACAGCAGGTCTTTGTCCGTCAATCAGCGTGTCCCGTCAAGGATGGCCTTCGATCTCGAGAATCTACCCACCTCTGCGGCTTTGACGGCCTCCTCCAAGTCTGCCACGTGGGCGCGCACGACCTCCAGGTCCTGGGAAGCCTCCTTCTCTTTCTGCAACATGACACGACTCGTTCAGTCCCTACATGGGTTGCATGATTTGAGAACACCCGCATAAAGTTGCATGATTTGAGAACACCCGCATAAAGTTGCATGATTTGAGAACAACCGCATAATGCCATCTTTCTTCCCTGTGGGGGATCGAGATCCCCTCTATAAAACTTGCAAATTATTCGCTGCATGTAGAAAGGGTGATCTTCCTTGCACAGGAAAACAGTAAAGTTGCAACCGAAACGAAAGCGCGATATAGCGAAATGGTAGGACTTCCAGATTGTCACATTCTGCCATTCTCGGAAGACTCACCTCGAGCTGCGTTTGCAGGTCGAAGACGTCGTTGAGGGCGTTGAAGAGGTCCTTCTCAACGGCGCGCCGCTGAGTCGTCTCCTCTTCAATCCGCTTGTTCGCCTGCAGCAAAGAAGAACAGAATTTACTGCCTTTTACCGTCCCTTCAAAAAGTGCGAGGATCCACCTCACAATTCCCCGTAGGTTCAGAAGCGTAACAACGTCAAACGAATCGGCAGAAGCATTCGCCTATCCCCGTTTCTTCGGCACAAAATCTTCAGCCTATTTTTCCGCCTAACACCCGCTTTTCGTCAAGCCAAAGTTCTCAAAACCATTTCACATAGCTCGCCCATGTCGCCACGTGTCATCATCCCACGCACCTCCTGCAGCTCCTCCTCGAGCTCCTTCACACTGAGCCCCGCCCCCTCGCGCCGCGCCACGTCGCCCTCCGCGGCTTCGAGCGGCTTCAGGAGCGCGTCCGCGCGCAGCTGCGCGAGCTCCCGCTCTAGTTCCTCGTTGCGCGCGCCGAGCGCGCCGTTGTTCTCGAGCGCCGCGTTAAGATCCAGGTGCTTCTGGGCGGCCTCGCGCCGGCACTGGTCCAGCTGGGGCGGGCGAAAAGAGATGTCTCTTCAGTTTAGCAAAAGTACGCTCTAGCAGAAGTAAGCTCTGACATTAACACAGAAATCTAACCGACAAAATCACCTGCTCCACACCCGTACCCACCCTAAACCCCCAAACTAACCCCACCCGTTTCGGGCTGGTCAGCTTACTTTACTAAGCTAACTTCTGCAAAATTGAAGCTTCATGAAAGTGGGCGGTTGCAACAGTATGGGTGACAGCAAGAATAGTGCTCGGGAATGGAAAGGCAGCGCCATTCGGAAAGGTGGCCCAATAGGCATCGCTAGACGTGAGCGAATCATCTGCTGAGAGTCCTCCCATGATTTGCGGAACCGCAGACTCAGTGATGCGCAATGGCGTTTAGGCTAACACCCAGGAGCAACGGTTGCAATCCTCTTGGATGTCCTCGCTCTGGCGCACTTTCGAAATAAAAAGGAACAATGGCTTGACAGGATTTCTTGATTCTGTCAAACCGCCTTACCTCATGACGAACGGACTCCAGCTGATGGGCCATGACAGCCGCCCGAGCGTCCCCTCCCAAGCTGGCCTAGACGAGAGCACGGCGGGACACAGGAGTCAGATCTCGGGTTGCTAAAGAGGACCACTACTTAGTTGTACCGAGAGGGAGTCAGTCTAGGGTCGACCTTCTAGCACTTTCTGTAGGAGTGCGGTTTTGTATAAACAGAGTGCCTTTAAAACGTGCAGATACCAGCCCTTTCACAGTTACACAGTCTTGACGAGATTGCATCATCCTCTGCCTTCATGATTGCTATTGCAAACATTGTCGATCAGCTCTGTATTACTCAAATGATATAAGAGGAAACGGACCCTACGCACCGCGCACGCGCCGCTTACCCTGCTGATGGAGCTCCTGATGTCGGGGTCGTTACGCGCTTTGGCGTCCAGCACCTCGATCAGTTGGTCGCGCAACGTCGCAATCTCCTCCAGCAAATGCTCGCGCTCCCCGCCCTCGCAGTAGTCCTGCAGCCTGCACAAAATGGAAGGAGCAACTTAGATCTATTTCCAAGTAGAGTCTTTCCAAGTATTTTGAGGTCCCTTCAATACACATTCTCCGCCTTTTATAGAAGTTCTGTAGCCTACACGGAGGAAAGCGGGGAGATTAGAGGAGGCCGACTTTTGTGCACTAGTTACTCATTTCTTGATTGTCGTCCGTCTGATTGTAAGAGTAGCTATACTTAATGACTTCCAAGGTCTCAAGCTCATGTTTTGCGTCTTGCCCTCGCACTGATCCCATAATCTCCGCAGGTCCAGGTGGAATTTAGTCGTCACAGTCTCGAACTTCGAGTTACGACGCTTACTCTGGTCTGTGGGCTTTGAAAAGGAATGACCAGCGCATAGAATCGCATCCTGCGTACAACTGGACAAGGCCCTCAAGCAATCGCTCGAAAGCAACTGCGTTTCGCATCAGGCAAGTTGCGCCTTATTGTCCTCTGTGCACCTCAAAAGCACCCGTGGAGACCCAAACCCACGAGTCGTCAAAAAGGCTTTTACGACTCCCAAAATTCTGCAGAGCTTTCCTTTACGAGTTCAGAATGTTTGGGTATCAACGCACCGTAACCACTTCTTCCAGTAAGGGCTCGCGCCGAGCCCTTCCCTTCGAGTCGACTTCCTCCAGCTTGCGGCAAAATGTTGAAGTACAAAAGCCGAGTCAGCTTAAACGCTTCCGAGGACTTACGTGCGCAGCTGGTCCTGGAGGCGCAGGTTGTCGAGCGCAAAGCGCGTGACCTCGGGGTGCCGGTCCATGCGCTCCTTCCAGTGCTCGATCTCCGCCTGCCGGGCGTCCACCTCCTGCGAAACCGAGGGCCGGGCTCAGTGACCGGTATTGTTTGATCACGACTCGTCGAATTGAAGGGATGATACTCGGCGAGTAATATCAAGTTGGAGTTCCCGCCTGCTTCGAGTACTATTCCTACAGAGCGAAACCTGAAGAGGTGATTATTGCTTTACCGGCAACGTTCGCTTGAACTCTGAGTCGCTTGACTAAGATCCGAGTCCCAGGCACACAAAACCAGAAACCCTCACCCAAACATGTACGCGCTCCGCAACCAGACCCACCCAACCACCGAAAAATCCCCACCGCCTCCCGGGCGCCCGTTGATCCGAGCGGACATTGCCACACTATTATTGCCTCCGTTCGACTTGACGGATCAATGGCAGGTTCGGAGCAGTGAAGGGCGCACAAAGAGTGCTCGATCTCCGCCTGCCTCGCGTCTGCCTCCTACGGAAGTCGGGGATTCAGAAGCATTGCCCCGCAAGGGCAGATTCAAATCTGCCCGAACGAACACACCGCCACTAGCTACCCAATGTGGCTCTATCATCGGCGGATAGAACTTTTGAGTCGCTTCAGATCGAGGTGAACCCCGCAAACGTCTCACGAAAATAAAATTCGACCGGTATTCTAAGTTGCAAGTGACGCCGGCAAACAATGCCGTATCGCTCTCCTTGAAGTCGATCGTCCAGACCCTTCGCCAGTTCTCAGCTCATCAGAGGCGCCGCCGCAATCGAGAACTTCTCGACAGCTTTTTGAACCAAGCAATTTCCCCAACATTTCCAAAGGCCCTGTTCCAGGAGCTCTCACCTGCTGGTAGTACTCGTCGACCGGCAACACGTCCCGCGACAGGGCCTCCAGCCGCTTGATGCGATCTTCCCGAAACTTGACCACCATTTTGGAGCAGCTCGCGGCGTGCTCGTGCTGTCGGCTAAGCCGCTCCACCACCGCGATGTCGGCCGCGAGGCGCTGCGCCTTGTTGTCTGCGGCCAGCTCGCGCCGGAGCGCGCCCGCGAGGACCGCCTCTAGTTTCTTCAACTGCGGGAGGGAATGTAAGAATCGTCGAAGGTTTGTGGTTTGCATTTGGGTATGTAAGGTGTGAGGGTTTGGGACATCGTGCAAGGTTTTGAGTTGATTGGGTCAGCGAGCGAGCGGCGAGCGACCTGGTGTTGTCTGCGGCCAGCTCACGCTGGCCGCGCCCGCGAGACCCGCCTCTAGTTTTTCCAGCTACGGGACGGAAAGTGAACGGTAGCAAGCTGAGCGCAAAAGGCCCCATACTTGTTTGCTAGCGTCAATGTAGTACTGGAAGTCATCCTTCGAAGCTAGAGCCAGAAAGACGAGGGCCGACTCTCTGTAAGGGAGGGTAATTAGCATCGAAGGATGCCTCTGATCATCCGGGCAGTTATGAACATCACCTTCGAAGTTCGACTGCAAAAAATCAGAGTATTCTAGACAATGCGCTCGCGGCTCTTGCCCGTTTTCGATCTGGTGACCGGGGACGGCCTCCCGGCCACCATCTGCGTGCTGGGAAATCCCCGGGGTGCTTCGCACTAGGCTGCGAGATGCTGTGCCGACTTTTAGGGTTTACCAGTTGAGATTTTACCATTTAGGATCTCACTATGTTGTAGGATTCAAGGCCCACCTTTGACTTGGTAACCGGGGACGGCCTCCCGGGCACCATTTGAGTGCCCGGAGACTCGCCGGGGTGCTTTGCCGAGGGCGGCGAGATGCTGTGCCGGGGCCCCTTGATGCGCCACAGCTCCTCCTTCAGCTTCTTGATCTGCTCCTTGAGGGACGCCACGTCACCACTCGTGTCCTCGTTCACCACGGCCTGCAGGAGAAGAGAGAAAAGATGACGTCAGCCAGAAAGGCGTGGTTGTTATCACGTTACCGCTCGTGTCCTCGTTCACCACAGCCCGGAGCATGGGAACCACAGAAATGACGTCAGGCAGCAGCTCTCGTTACGTCACCACTCGTTTGCCACAGCTTGCGAATTATTGACCGATAAGCCGACTTCAGCGGAACGCACCGTCGCTCTCAGCAGCTCGCACCCTGTCCCGGCTGAACATAAAAGTCAACATGATGGAGTAACACGAGAAACAATTCCATAGTTGGCGTGCGGAAGGGAAGTCGAGGACGAGACCTTGTCAGAGGGTGGTATGGTGCGGACAAATTCGGAAACAAAAACTGCTCGCTTTTAGCCAATCACAGCAGGCCACGTGGCACCCACCTTGTTGCGGATGAACTTGGCCCGCTGCGCGAACTTGAGCGTGCTGAAGGTCTCGCTGAAGCACGCCGTGGAGGGGCTGACGTTGGCGATCATGATGGTCTTGGCGTTGCCGCCCAGCGAGTCCTGCATGGAAACGAGCTTCGCTTCATGCTTTGCAGAATAAAGTCCAAGAAGAATGGCACATAGGGAGATTGCATACACATCATCTACGTCGGATTTAGCTACTCATTTGCACTTGGGAGGACGTAAACGGAAGGCTGTTACCTTAATTTTCACAAGACTTTCGCAGCTCTAGAGACATAAGTAGATTGTACTTACAGTAAAAATCAATTCAATGCTGGGGCGATCCTGATTGCGTATCCCAAAAGCTAGTCTTTGAACCCTTTCAGCGCCCAAGCGAAGGTTCGTTTCTTGACAACTCTGGAAACCCCTACGGCCACTTAGAAAGTCAGGAAAAGGCAGCTTTGCGGTCGAGGTTTGCCAGAAACTCTGAGAATATTACGGCTCACCATTAGCAGAAACGTGAGGCGCGAGTCCCGGTAAGGCACGTGCCGCTGCTTTCCCTCGGCCACGTCAGCAAGCGTCATGATGACGAGCCTGCAGGGGAGAGGGGTGAGCGAAGAATAGCTTTTGAGTCAACGTCGGGGCATGTGTATTCTTCCAGCGACCAAAGAGTTCAGAGAGCCGCAGCAATGACTGACGTCACGAGGACGTACGGCCTGAGATGAGGCACAGAGTACATCGCTAGGCAGATACACCTGCACAAACCCTCGGAGTGGAGAGGATTTGAAGGCCAGGTTGAAAAGGCGAAAGCAATTGTTTAACCCTCCTTGGAGCCAAGACAAGCTTCGACGGAAGGAAGGAATAAAGCAACGGGCAACCTTGAGAGAGTCGAAGGCCAGATTGAAAAGGCGAAATCAATCGTGTACCCCTCCTTTGAACCAAGACAAGCTTCGACGGAAGGAACGGATAAAGCGATGCGCAACCTTGAGAGAGTCGAAGGCTAGATTTAAAAAGGCGGAATTGAACGTTTACCCCCCTCCTTTGAACCAAGACAAGCTTCGACGGAAGGCACTGATAAAGCGATAGACATCCGTGAGACAGTCAAGCATCCCAACTGGTGTTAGAGCTCGACGTGGAAGAAGCAACACGCCTTAAATTTGAAAACTTTAGTAATTGGGAAAGCTGCGCACCCAAGCGCCGAGAGCGAGCGGTTGATGTTGGACGCTTCCTTGAGGCGTTCCCCGCCCGCGCCGGAGCTCTTCTGCCGCTCCGATCCCGCGAGATCGACCAGATTCAGGCGGGAGAAGCGGGTATTGACCACGTTGTCAGACACGTACTGCAACGTGGGAAAGACGGGGAGTGTGAACAGGCACCGGTGAGAACTAGAAAGGTGCATGCAGAGTTGACGTCGGAAAGCTTTTGGCTTTTAGGCCCTGAATGTGAACGAGATTCCAGCGCTGGTTGCGAGAAGCAGGATTCTCATTGATGCAGATTTGCGCCTTGTCACGTTTCGATCTGGCACCCAGGTATACGCAAGGCCCCACAATTCTAGCCTCAAGCACTTTTGCAGAGCACGTAAGACGAGGCCTTGTCTGCGGACTCGAAAACCAGTATCAAAGCGAAGAACGATACCAGGGCGTCAGACATGCAAAATGATCTACCAGTGAAGTTCTGGCTACACGCTATGTGTCTCTCAAGTCACAATCAGTCGGTTGCGGGGACTGACGAGGAAGTTTTTCGTCCGTCCATTCTCTAGAGCGGCAGCCCTACCTTGCCTTCCACGGTGCACGTAAACACGCTGTGAGACCGGCTGCTCTCGTGATTCATATTCGTCTGGGCGACCTTCCGATTGTTGGCGCCCTGCAGAGGTCGCCAGACAACGACTGCTTACTCGTCGACAGGAACTTCTAAGGCGCTCGGGTTATCTGCTGGGTCTCGGAGTGCGACCTTTGCTATCCTTAAGGAACGGTGCAGAACCTGGCTTCTCCATAGTCAGTTTGAACATGTCACTGTGACAAAAGTTGGCATGCACACTTCCGTTTTCTTCTGAGTTGATACGTCCTCTAACACTCCCTAAAGAGCACTGAACGGAGGGGGGCCCACTTTACGAACTTCGAGTCCAGCCATTCCTACGCCGGCCTTTTACAGCAAGCTAGTTTTTACCTGCACCATGAGGCGGATGACGTCCTCGACACCGTGGACTGCCACCTCCGACAGCCCCTCTACGAACACTCCCCGCTTTACATCCTCGCGAATCTGCAAACACATCCGCTCCTCGTCTTCTTCGATCGAATTCTCATCTAGAATGATACCGTAATCATTCGTTTGTTTTTTTGCTGATTGCAGGGTGACCTGACCGGTTGTGATTGCCGACCTTGACACATGCCGCTCCGATTGGTGACACCGTGACTAAGTCCGCTTTCAACATTATTTAGGATTGTCAAAACGAGTGGGCGGATATCCAACATATTGTGGAACCCCTTCGTTGTATCGGGCGATATCGGGTCTGAATGTAAGTTCGCAAGTGCCGACGTAGCCGACTGTTGTGGCAGGAACAGCCATGACAATTGTCACTTCGGCAGACCGAACAAGGATTAAACAATTGTTTCTCAGGGATGCAAACGTCAGGGCTGGAATCCGAAACCAGACAAACAATGCTTTCAAGCAGTCCACATAAGCGAAACGTCATACTTTGTCATGCCATTCACAAGGGTGCTGAGAAAAGCGGTCTTTCAAGGGCAACCTACCTGCAGGTTGGTCGAGGTGGGCTCCAGCAAATCCGTGATCTGCTCGTTGTAGATCTGCACATTGGGGCGAGACTTTACACCTTTGAACATCTGTTATTTCTGAGAGACAAGGTGTGATGCTTGAAAGGTGATAAAAACCCCTTCAAGATACGACCAAAACCGAGGGACCTATAGCTTGTGTCCAGTATAGTACCCCTTCAAAAAGGCAGATTATGCTTGTTTGTTGATGGTCAACGAACATCCTCGGGCATGAAGACCTGACCCCAAGCAGAGTATTCTTACCTCCAGGAACGAGCACTTGCACACATACTGCAGTTGGTTCTCCCGCTTCTCCTCCTCAGCCTGTTACACCAGCAGCAACCAGCTGTCAGCACTTCGGATGCATCAAAGCAGAGCTTTTCAAATCAAACATGGTCTTTTTTCACCTACCCGGAAGTGATCACTAGCACTGACAACCCCGCTCTCTGGAAAAACAGGGGCCCTCCAACTGAAAAGCGGACCAATGCTTTTGAGACACCCCCCGCAGACGAGACCCATCCAGCCCTCCTGCCAGCAAGGCCGAAGACACAAAATGCTACGAACTTTACCATACGTCAGGTACGTTAGATGGTCAGTCCAACATACTGGACCCCGAGCTTTTGGAGGTATTACCTCCTTAATGCGCACAAACAGCTCCTCAAACACGCGGGGAGAGATGCCCCGGTCGGCGCTGGGGTGGAGCGGCAGGCCCGCAATGTCGCCCAGCATTGTAAAGGTCTTGCCGCTGCCCGTCTGCACATAACCCCATACCGTGTTCATTGTGTGCGGTGCAGATGTGCAGAGTAGACCAATATTTTGCGGCTCACTTACCCAGCTTTAAAGGAGAGGAAAAGTCACTGGCGGCCCTCGGGGACTGTCCTGCAGGCTGGGGCGTCGACAGCTGTCGCTAGTCTACAATAGTCTGGTTGCATGGGACTGGCCTGAATAAAACGTGGACAAAGACTTTGCATCTTTCCAGAGGTAAGACACGGCTGCAGGAATTCCTGCTGCCAAGACAATAGCTCTATCTATCCTTGGTAACATGTAAACCCCCAGATTTTAGCGGAGATCTGTATCCTGCGGAGGAGCCATAAGGTTCAGCTCCCTACCTGGCCATATGCAAACATGGAGCTGTTGTAGCCGTAGATACAATTTTGCACCATCGGTTGCCCCACGAGCGCAAAGAGTGCCTCCTGCGAGACCGTGTCTCCCACGACGTGGTCGAATGTGAACTGGGTCGGTTCGGGGATTGTCATGCAGAGTAGCGAGCGGGGGCCAGCCTGCTGGATGCACCGCTTGGCGCCGCCCTGATTGGTTTCGCGCTCGTTGATTGGGCGCAAACGTACGATGACCTGAGCACAAGCAAATATTATTTTTGACTGTTGCAGGCGGCCAAGACGTGGAGAACTGATTTTTGATTTTTGACGGGCTACCCAACACCCGAAGTTGTAATGGTAAATCTGAGAGACCTTTGACCTTTTTGACCGTGGTGCATAAAATAAAGCCAGCTAAAGCATCTTAGCCTTTGGCGTCTCAATTGTCAACGGATTGGCAAAACACAAGACACGGTCTGAACAGCATGCAGGCCCACAACGAAAAGCACCTTGTAGCTCCAAGCTCATCTATCCCATGTAGCTGGCTCTTCCCGCTCTTTCTGCCATGCAGTCATGCAAGGTAACTAAGACAGAACACAACAATTCAGATTCTTAGTCGGTTCCTTTTTTCAGGGTTTCACCTGCACGCTCTGGTCCTCAATCGCTCCTTCTGACTCCTCCTCCTGCAGGCTCTCCGCCAGCGCCTGCAGCGTGGGGCTCATATAGCTATGCCCCTCGTGTTTTGAGTGCCCCGGCCCCAGCCCAAGCCTGGGATACCCTCTGCCCGGAGTCTTGGCCCTGGCAGGCGTTCTAGGAGTGTCCACGCCAGCTGTCAAACTCCTAGGAGTGTCACTGCCAGCTGTTGCAGAAGAGTCCTCCAGCACTAGCGCCCGGGCCGTTCCCCCGCGCCGGCCCCACGGGCTCTTGGCCCGCCTCTCAGAGTGCTCAGGAGACTCTCTGACCGGCTCCTCGGTAGGAGGGGCGTCCCTCTTCTTGGCCCAAGTAGGAGTGGGCCCCTTTTGAGGGGAAGCATGAGGGCTAATCTCCTGTGTCGGAGTGGAAGGCGGCTCCTCATATACGTCCAGGCCTTCAGGCTTGATTGCCTTGCTAGCTTTGCCCGGGGACTTTGGCGGGGTGGAAAGCCTGGCTGGGATTGAATGGGGACCAGATTTTGGTGCGATACTCCCAGTCTCGACGCACCCGCTCTCAATGCTTTCAGGCTTAGGAGAGGTCGGACACTGAGAGTTCTCGGAGGATGGGGCCAGGGGCTGCCGGGATGACCGTGTGATCGCGCTTTTGGACACGCTTACATTATCCCCGTCCGCAGAAGCATTCTCGTCGGTGAGGAGGGACTCCATTCCCGGAGCTTGCCCCGCTGGGGACCCAAAGAAGTGCCGAGAGGGAGCTCGCAACAAAGCCCTCAAGGACGACATGCCTCACAGACTGGGCGCAGACGTTGACATCCTACTGCAACTGCTGAGAAGCAAATCAGGTTGTTGGAAGCTGGCAATTCAAATCAGACCCTTCAACGCAGCGTCCCAGTTCAGGCGTGGTATGGTACCTGTCCAATAAGGAGACGCAGGCTTGTATGCGCATCCCTTGCTGCAGGCGGCTGTGCCTGCATCCGCTACATGCTACCAATGCCATAGGTATCAAGGAGCTGCACAATCTGATCGCAGCAGCAGTAGACTGTCCAGTCAAATCGAGTCAGAAACATACGGTAATTCAGCAAACGAATTTGAAAGTTGCGTGCCGATCCATCGGTGAAGCGGCCGCCGTCCGATGCAACACCGGCAACGGTTGAAAGTAGAAGCCTTGCCACGCGTCGCGCTAGCGTCACTATCCGCACGATCTGCCGGGAAACTCGTTTCTTTTCGCGCCAAATTTCTCAAATTGCTCTTCTAGGTAGGTACTTCGCAATGCATCCAACAAATTGTAGGACTCACCACTCAAGAGTCGAAGAGCATGTCTCCTGAGTTTTGGCCCTCTTCAAGATTCAAGTCTCTTTGAAGTTTGAGCACGACCTCTAGCTCGACATTGCAAACGTCTTCTTGCATTCATTGCTGTGCTACGTCGTTCTGCATCACTTGGTGTGCTAGCGCTGAAAGCTGCAAGGCGATTTCTTGTTCACAAGTGCTAAGCGGCGCAGCCACAAAAACCTTGGCGGATAGAACCTTGAGGCAGGGTTTCAAACCCAGCAAAGCGCCACCTATCCTCTGCAGACTCCCACACATTCGAAGGTTTCTCCAGCCGAACATGGCCATGACTATGGAGCACCCGACCAAATTCACCTTCCCAACGCTCTTCTCCAAGTTCTATGGCTCTGGCCTTCCCCGGCCATACAGGTACTTCCCAGATGACCCAGCCAAGTCGCGAGTTGATCCTCCAGGCACCGTGAATGGAGCTTTGCTAGAATGGGCTGCGGAGGCACACTGGAACATGGGGGGACTGAATGTGACGAGAAAGAAGCTGCAAGGAAAGATAGAGGGGAAGCTGGACAAACTGGATAAGGTGGGTGGGATAAGTTTAGTCAGGACTGTTTTGATCTCATCCTCCTGTCCTGAGTCAACTCTCAGAGCCCCCTTTTGGGAATTGGACGAATCAATGCATCTGATTGACGATGACGGTTAGTGATACTGTAGGCTTGCACAGGTAGACGTTCTTTTTAACGTGGCAAGGTTTTTTCTGGACAGTAATTGCAGCTGCTGAAGCGGTTGATGCATCAACCGAGTTCTTGATTGCTTTAGCCACTGATTAGAGAAAGTCTGTAAGCTCCATTGATCTGGGTTGATATCACGTATGTGGTGGTTCGTTCTTTGAGCAATCAGGTTTTGAAGAACCCGCCGTCTAACCCACTTTTTGCAAGATTTGGCTTTTACTTTGACCTTCTTGATCCAGGCTCAAAGGAGCTCAAGGGTAGACCGCTTCCCTTTGTGAACCTGAAAAGCCTAGGCTCGAGCGGATAGCAGTGTCACTCGATGTTTGTTGTCTGTGATCTGAATTCCATCCAATCAACTCTTGCTTGGTTCTTGATAAAGAATTGCTCAACCGGCAATCCAAAACACTGCAGTTACGCTGTCAGAATGAACCAAAATGCTTCCGTCAACATCCTGAAGAAGAGCTGACAACGCCTTTGTCTCACAATTTGCAGGAGCAAAAAAAGCGGTCCTCCAGCAGCGCCAAGAAGTCGTCCGCCAAGCGGCGGCGGCAGGACCCGGACAGCGACGCAGAGGACGAGCGGGTCCTCAAACAACTAGAGGAGGAGGACGAGAGCCAAGAGGAAGAGAGCGAAGGCGAGGAAGAGGAAGAGGAGAGTGACGAGGAGGGAGGAGATTTAGAAGCTCATGAGGAGGGAGAAGAAGCGCTGGAGGAGGAAGAGGAGGAGGATAAGCCGAGCCACATACGGTCCCGGACGCGCAGCGGCTCCAAGAAGGCCAAGGAGCGTGTGCGGAAGGTGCTGCAGTACCCGGACGTGGAGGGCCGGCGGGATGAGAGCACCAAGGCGGAGTCCTCAGGTACTGCTTTGGTCTAGAACACCCCTGAGGACGAGTCTTTCCTTTGATGAAATGTGGAGAAGACCATGCTGACTAATGGCCCACCGGCAGTTCTGGACTGCCCTGTGGTCAAATCTGTTGCAACCCCACCATTTTACTGTTGAACGACTGATAATGTAGCCCTCCAGAAATATTCCTTTCTCTTTGCAATATCCACTTCGCACCAATCACTGTAGATTCTGAGTACTTTCGAAAAACTAGAACTTCCTGTCAGGCTCAGCCTGTGTGCTATCTGAAGAAGGGCTCTGCTTTCGTTCTACAGGGGCTCCGAATTGTTGTCCAGTTAAGTCACCAGACTAGACACCAGGAATCCATACACAAGCGAGCCGTCGGTTCCTGCACAGAAACCATTCTGAACGGGGCAGGTTAGTCCAACAAATCATCTTAACCATTGACAAATTGTGCTTTTATTCCAGGGCCAGCGCCCGCTAAACCAGCCGGCAGCAGCCGGACCCGCCAGCTGCGTAAGAGCGCAGTCATTGCGACTCCCAAATCTCGCACGTCCGCTCAGACTCGCTCGGGCACCAATCTGCGGACGCCAGCTAGCGCCAAGTCGGACGCCAAGGGGCCCGCTCGCAGGAGCGCACGCCTCACCCCGGTGGCGCTGCCAAGTGCGAGCAGCGGCGAGAGCGACGAGGTGAGGGCGGCAGCAAAAAGGTGACGTCTTGACTTGCGGATCGTAACGTGCATATTCAATGAGGCTGTTGCGACGCTATTTTTGGAGTCAATGCCTTGACCCCGACTGGGCCTTGGCCTGATGCTGATGGCAGGTGACAGTCGAGACATAGCGAGCTTCCAGCATACTGAATGGAGTATGGGTCGCGGGAGTCAGGAGGTGCCGGGCTGCTGATTCCCGGGAGCTTTTGAGTGCAGCGAGCTTTGTTACAATCAGGTGAAAGCCGAAGGCTGCTCTCGGGCCACCAATGCTGCAGGATCAGTCTTGCTGATACCAGCTCACACAAAGCTGAACAAAAATCCCAACCTTGCAGAAAACGGACGACGAAAGGGACTTCTCAGACGGTTCAGAGGACGAGATGGCCGGAAACAACGAGTACCCAGCCACAGACGATGAGGCAGAGATTGAAGATTTCTAGCTTATCGGAGCCGTTGCGTCTGCCAAAAGGTCAAACACGTGACCTCCGTTTAGTATTCCTGTGATCGGGGCACGCAGACGAGCTGAGCCTTGATACCCGGCCGCTTAAAACTATAAGCGAATGGTGTCTGCTCTATCAAGAAACGTGTTGACATATCTGACATAGGTCTTCAGTAACAGTGCGTATCAGAATAGTTAAATCTACAAATAGCGAGGTTTGCGATGTGAAAGCTGCTGCCGCTGCAAGGCGGTTTGTTGCAAACCCTTTAAGTCAATGTCACTCTCAGGCTGGGATTACACGGCATCGGTCTGACAAACCAACCAAGAGCTCGTTTTACTGTCAAGCATGCCTGATGGACGAGAAGATTTCTCTCAAAACAAGCGTCATTTAATGACATGCTAGCGGGTTCCCTTCGATTGGCTGTTGACTGGTCGGCAAGCATGGTTTTGTTGCCCCTAGCTGGCATGCGTGTAGTAAGTCCGTAGGCTGCACAAAAAGCCATTATATCATGCAAATAGTCAAGGAAGGAGATCCACATGAGCTATCGTAACAGATCTTCGACAAGGCCGCGGCTTGATTGGCTGCGGTCAATACAAGTATATCAAGGAGCCCGGGCCTGGCGTCATGATATTTGGTTACATGATCGATGACCATCGACATATGTCTTCAGCAGGCCCGCCCGATGCGCTACGATGCGGGGTGCACATAAGTGCGGTCGTGGCGGCAGCTCATGCTCATGATCATGCAGGTAGGCACAAGTCAGTTCTAGGATTAATCAAGTAAGCCAGCTGCACATCCGTATTGGAGCGCGCTTGAACATCAGGCTGTAGTAAACCATAGTCTCCACTGCAAGCTAGAATTGACATGATTGCAGGCGCCAACGTACACTTTCAAAGCTCAAGAGAAAATGGTTCATTACAGCTGATCGCATGACTTCACGAGGCTCAGTATGATGTCCAACTAGTTTCTAAATCATGTACTGAACGCAATAGCTCTGTCGCTTTACAAATCTACTGCTAAACTTGGATTGAACCGTCTGTATCAAATGCTGCACTTAGTAGGCCGTTTGACCGGTCGTTCGGCTGTAAGTAGGGAAGTCCCCAGTCCAAGATTCGACTCGACCAGGCAATCTCAACAGAGCCTTGAGCTGACGAGATCTATCTCAGGACGACTGCTGCGTTTCGAAGGGTCAGGTAGGCCTGCACTGTCGCGTCTGGCAATGCTCGAACAAACTTAAAGGCCTCTGCGTCTGCATAGCGCATTTTCGTCCGTGGGTCCGTATACTTCGCCTGCAGGCAGAAATGCGGATGTCTTCGTAAGGTGTTGAGAGTGTTGAGATGACAATAAGAGAGACAAAGCCTGCGCATGACACGTGCTTAGGAGTCCTTGCGAAGAGAGGACCTACACTATCCCCAACAACTGATTTGACGAGCGAGCAACGGCCAGCAACAGATCAAAGATCAAAGATCAAAGATCAAAGTCTTAAAAATAGACGGAAAGGTGATCAAGTCCACTCAAAGCCCGATATATAAGTAGCATACGAACGGGAAAGATTGAACTAACGCCCAGGAGTCCTTTAACATGAGCAGGAGCATAAGGAAGCTCGAGGAGGACCTTTGTGCTTACCTCGAAGCCTGTCATGTCACAGTACTTTTTGGCTGGATACATCGACGGCGGCGCTTCTATGTTGGCGTCTGTAAAACGTGTCAAGGACATCACACGATACAAGTTCTCTTGAAGGACTCTTTGCTATTTCGACTCTTCCACAAGAAGGGCATGCATCTGACTGCATTGTGAGGTCTTGCATACCTGATCTTCTTACCACCTCGTAGACAAAATCTACATACCTTCCAGAATCGCTATGAGAAAGCAAACCTCTTTCCACCTGACGAATTAAACTCAGCGTTCATTCAAAAAGCGAAGCATTCTAGCCTAAAAGCTCATGACGAGATTCTGCTTCTCAACATGTCACCTTTTGTCCGTTTGACAACCAGTTCTTTGGTCAGCAGAATCCAACTCAGACCAATCAAAGTGAGGAGGATACAAGTCGGTTCGTCGGCTGGTAGGAGGTGGTAGTTCTCCCCTTGAACAATCTGCTTCAGGCGCTTCCAGTGCCGCAAGGCGCCCTTGGGGTAGCGTTCCGCAGTTTGGACGAGCTTGAAGGGCAGGGTAGTGGGGAGAAAGAGCTCAGGGTCTAAGGTGGCGGCCTGACCGGATGTTGATGGCCGGTCATCGGGTGCGTCTCCCTGCAGGCAAAGACTGAGCTTAATTTCTGGAGGAAATGGAAACTGTAAAGAAAGCTGGTGCAGGAGACTATGGATTTGCCCATTGGAGCTCTATATGCCAGGACTTTCAGACTTTGGAGGATTGAAGAACCATGACAAAGGCACTCGGTGGTCGTCAGCCGGGCTTTTGGAGACGTGATGTCATTGGAGTCGGACATGTCATCAAATCCCATGCTCACAAGCGTCCTTCTTGTTCAGAAGCGTCTGGGTCTTTCAAGTACTTCAGAATACTGAGTGGTACTTCATCAAGAGCATGGTCTACTTCAATGACTCCCGAGACTACGGGCGTACCTCAAGCCCCTCCTCTTGCGTTTTTCTTCGCTTCCGTCCAGACCCTCTCGGTTCTGGAACACTCGGTTCCCTCCTTCGATCAGCCATGACAAACAATATTCTTGGATTGCTCTGCAGGGGGACAGTATGGCTTTGCTCGGAGGAAGCTTTGTAACCCCACTGCGTAAGATTGACACAAATTGGAGAAATCTGAGGGAAGGCCGGTTCACCACGGGGTAAAAGTTGTCTAAACAAGCAGCAGCTAAGTAATGAGCCCCCTAAACAGAGTGTGCTGTGAGAGGTCTTTGATCAGGATGGGGACCAATTGAATCTATTTGTCGAGCTGGGGCCAGTATCTGCCACCAGAAAATAAGATCGCTCCTTTTGCATTCCTTCTCGCATTAGAAGTTCAAGTCTTGATCGAAAGATGTGCATTGGGCAATCAGTACAAAGCCAGGGCAGACAAAGCTTCTGTAAAGCACCTCACCTTGCTCAGGCTTAGCGATCAGACAGATATCATCTCCGGCGCGTCCGCATACATAATTTCCTTTCAGTACAACTCGAGCAGCGAATAGGTTTCTTCCCACCAACTTTTGAAGCCAGCCTCCCCCATATGTAAGCATATGAAGGCAGGAATGCAGGCGTTGCTGGAGTTGACTCCTATCCCTTGTCAAAGCATGCTCCGGCGGCCCAGCGATGGGTGCAGCAAATTGAGGACGTCAGCTCAGGCGTCTCCCTTTTCTTTCAATCCGAGGAGCCTTTCCTCAAAGCAACAGAGCTTCGCTACCATTTTATACCGAGCTCGTGTGTGATCTTTTAGCTAGGTGACATAGTGGCACGAATGCTCCGCCTTCAAGTTCAAGTTCAAAAGCAAAGCAAGGCGCTTCATTCTGAATCCCGAGGCTAAAAGTGTCCGTTTGGTCGTGTGCATTCCACCCGGAAAAAGCTAAATATTCCAACAGTTGTGTGTTGTGGATATATACATAATAGTAACAGTTGGAATAATAATCTTTTGCAGAATGCGGCTATGGCTGCAGGCATAGTTGCCCCTGAATCAACCAATTTTAAAGTCCCCTTTCATGGTGTCTGCGCATATATTCAGGAGCAATACTTTGCACTTTTGGTTAGCAGCGGGGATTATAATCAGTAGGAATGTCAAAAGAAGGAAGCAAGAAATTGACAGAGACTGGCCCAATGCAGGATGAGCAGATAGAGCCAAATTTGGGGGAAAGTGGAAAGAGCTGGGAAAGCCGGAAAAGCTTGGAAGTGGCACTGGGTCTCCTTGATAGGCTCCATTCAAGGATGGACGTATCTCGATGTTGGCGGGGGCAGCTGTGCGATATCCGGAGCTTGTCTGCCAGTGGTATGCTGCCGGCAGGAAGTGAAAACATTCCCAAAACGCTCAACAAGTGCGCCCCGTTCTTTGGAGGAGTCCAAGGAGTTGCGCGCTCAAGATTGTTGGGCCAGGCCTGCAGTGGAGCCTTGATAAACACTTTCTGCCCGCCTTTTCATCCGCGACCCACTGTAGTAGCAAAGCTGCGTCTCTCTTCTTTAGCGCGGGCTGAAGTCAAGGATCTTTCAGCCAGCAGCGCCTTTAGTACCACCACCCTCACATCGGCCACACTTCCTGAACAGCTTGCCGGGGCCACCGCTTCTACAGGAAATGGACAAACTCTCTCTTGTAGTCTTCAGAAAAGCTCTCCACAGGTCGCCGCTGCAACCCCCACAAGTCGTGCTGATGTCGATGTCATTTACACGCCGGAACCATCCACTTCTGGACGAGACGACAGCCCCGGTTCGGACGGCACCCGCTGGCTGCAGGAGCGTGCGGAGCTGCTGAAGTGCGCGGAGGGGGGGGAGAAGTTGAGGGTGGCTGTGCTGCTGTCAGGGGGGGTGGACAGCAGCGTGGCGCTGCGGTTGCTGAAAGCGGTGGGGCATCAGTGCACGGCATTCTACCTCAAGATCTGGTTTCAGGTAGGGCATCGCTCTGCGGCCTGCTTCCATTTTTATCAGCAAGTGCGATTGCCAAGGAGCGGTTTGTTCGGAAGCCTCCAGTTTCAGTTGCTTGGAAGTGGACAGCGAGAGTACTGATGATAAGTGTGGGTGGGTATGATTCTGCAGAGAAAATCTCCCGCTAGCTATCAGGTTGATGGTCGATGTCAAATCCAACCTCTCGCCGACACTGTTCCGACAGGCATTTGCGAAATTGGTTATTCATCAAAGCCTCTTCTCGTTTGCAGGAAGACTTCCGCAACTTCTGGGCCGAATGCCCCTGGGAAGAAGACCTCGGATACGCCGAGGCAGTGTGCCGCCAGGCAGGCGTCGAGCTTCGCGTTGTTCACTTGACGAACGAATACTGGTCACGGGTGGTCTCGCACTGCGTGTCCGAAATCCAGGCGGGCCGGACGCCAAATCCGGACATGCTTTGCAACTCGAGGGTCAAGTTTGGGGCGTTCTACGACTCCATAGATTTCAGGGAGTTTGACCGGGTGGCCTCGGGCCACTACGCGCGTGTGGAAAGAGGGGAGGGGGAGGTGAAGTTGGCGCTTTGTGCTGACGAGGTAAGCCAGTCCGTTTTTTCTGAGGTCGGATCTGGCTTTTCTTACAGGGCTTGCTTGTTGCAAAATGTTCCATTGCCGCAGCTTAGACTGCTGTACGGATATCAGAAGGGAATGTTGCTGCCGCCCCCTTTGCCCATTCCCGAGGTCTGTTTGGCTTCATCTGGCGGTGACTTCCGCATCCCGCTGACAACCGCAGAAGTGCTCGTCAAGGAACCACTGTTGCCTCAACTTATCAGAGTCTGTTTCTGCTAATGGGTCTGATAGAGTGCCATATCGGTCTCTTGCAGTGGAAGGACCAGACGTACTTCCTCTCGCACCTCAGCCAGGCCCAGCTGCGGAGGGCCCTGTTTCCGCTGGGGAACCTGCCCAAGGCTGAGGTCCGCCAGGTCGCCGAAGCCCTCGAGCTGCCCAACAGGGCCCGCAAGGACAGCCAGGGGATCTGCTTTTTAGGAAAGGTGCGCTCGCAAAGTTTTTTCGATGGCGTCTTCTTCTAATTGGAAACAGTCTGCCTTCCAGTCATCAGCAGAACAGAAAGCACCATCTGCTGAAGCCTTAAGCAAAAGTTTGTTGTCTTGCCTTGAGCAAGAGCTCTTTGTTTGGGATGATACAACAGAAAAAGATGCCGCTGCATTCGAAAGCAGTCTGTCAAAGGTGGTCAACCCCTGGTGGCGAAGAGGAAGTTTTGTCTAGCATCTTCGAACTTGAGCGGTAGCCAACCACAGACGTGATACGTATCCGTATCTGCTCGCACACCCACACAGCTATTCTCCGGCCCCTGTTCTCTACATGAATTTTGGATTTCACCTCGACCCAGATCCCTGGTTAGACCAGCCCATGCACAGGGACTTCGCAGTCGGATTCGTTAATAACCCACGCTAAGAGCATGTACCAAATCTCCCCCTCAGGTGAAATTCAGCGAGTTCATTGCACAGCACTTGGGCGAGCGGCACGGGTGGCTGTTGGAGGCGGAGTCCGGGGACAAGCTCGGGACGCACCGCGGCTTCTGGTTCTACACCATCGGCCAGCGGCAAGGCATCCACCTGTCGGGAGGGCCCTGGTAAGGGCGCACTACTCGGATCGCACTCTATGGATCGCATTCTATGGATCGCACTTTGGTGAGACCTGGCCGTCACCCCTGAAGAAAAAAGCTGTGTCCCTCATAGAGTGTTGGGGTTGATTTGTGGGCTGCAGGCTTAGCAATGAAGTGCAATGCTTGGGTATACCGCCCAAGTCGACGTCTGTCGAGAGTAACCATCCTTACGCAGCGGTAGGATCTTAATAGGTTTGGCTCGTAGACCTTGTAGACCTAAGAGGCGCCTCGACTCTTCTACGAAACGGATTCTAGAAAATTTAGACTAGCCTGGGGAGTGATTGGGGGGACTACTTACGGTCTTGCGGGATGTTGCATGCGATGCTTTTGCTAACGTCCTTAATGACGTTTGCAGAGTTGTTTGAGCTCCTTGTCACTGACTGTAGACTGAGGTGTTGCGGTTCTCCTTTTGATTGAAGTCGAGAGTACTTTCACAGCGGAAGTGCCAGCCGCAATCTGAGCGGTTCCTCTCGCTCAGGCCAGAGACACGCGTCTTGCTTGAAACAGAGATTGCAGCTTGCACTTACGAAAAGGCGGAGCCGGTGAAGCAGGTAATCGGATCGTTTGAAAGGGTCCGACCGCTGTGCAGACAGGTTCTGAACGATCTGAACGATGATAAACACTCCGAACACTTCTGTCGCCCCAGTCTTGTTTATGATCGTCCCAAAAAATTTCCTTGACTGACAGCCAAGAAGATTCAATCTCGTCTTCCATTGTTACCACAGGTACGTCGTGTCAAAGGACCCGATTACGAACGTTGTCTTCGTCTCAAGGCACTACTACTCCGAGGACAAGGCGAGGCGAAGCTTCCGCGCAGGGGGTTTCAGTTGGGTGGGAGGGCTACCCCGCGCTGACCTCGACCAGCGAGAGCTGCTGTGTAAGGTTCGGCACGGGCCCCGCTTTCATCGGTGCACTTTGCGGTGGGAAGATGCAGAAAATCCGGGGACGTCAGGGACAGGTGTCAACGCTGGAGCGGACGAACCGGCACAGATAGGAGCTGTGCGGGACCGAGTGCTTATAACGCTGGCGGAGGACGATCAGGGGCTGGCCGCGGGTCAGTACGTGGCGATGTACGCAGATGGGTATTGCGCGGGCTCGGGAGTGATTCTGGAGGCGATTGATGAAGGGGGTTCGGATCACGTTTCGCCGGAGGCGAGGCATGCGGCTCTCACGGCGGGCGAGGTTGATCTGAAAGCGTTTGCTAAGTACCAGGCGGGAGCGAAGGGTCGGAAGAACAGGAAGGGGTTGGAGAGTAGTCCAAAGGGTGGAGATTTGGATTCGTTGGTTGGGTTGAAGCAATTGCAAACAGCCAAGGGGAGTGACCAGCTCCTCTTGCGATCTTGAGTTCCTAAACGCGCTGCTGGCTCACGATTATATCCATGCCTTGCATTTGACTGTAAGCTGCACTTCTATTGCGGACCTCCGGATGCGCCCCCGGATGGGCGTGCATGTTTCATCGCACGGTCTGTGCAGCATGCAATTGACTATATTGGCTAAGGCAAGCTATAGCCTGGCCGTCGTAGTGCCTCAGCTCACACGCGTGATATACATGCCATAATCTCTGTGCGCAACTTGGCAAGAGATGTGTAGCTATAGTCGGCCATCTTACATTCAGGTCGATCCCCGCCACGGTTGCGCTGGCAACATGGAGATGTAAGTAACCAAGGCACATGACGCGTCTCCCTGCCACTGACGCTCACCGCGTCTTAATGCCGTTTCAGTCATCGATATCAAGAACATGCAGCCTGCCGACGAATTTCAGGACAGCATGCAGAGTTAATGTGGCATACAAATGTGGCATACAAACATCATGCGATAGCCTGCATTTGCCCATATTGCACTGGCTGCATCCTTGCTACACTCGTTCAGTCTGTGTGGCACACCATAAGTTCCGTTTGCCCCTCCAAAGCGCGAATGCCGAATGTGTGTTTGTCATTAATTCTCCGCTTCTTCCAAACCTCCCAGGTCCGGGGTAACTAGACTTTTGAAGTCAACAAGAGGAGCTTCAGGCTGGTCGACAATACCTTCGAGAAGAACAGCCCCGGCTTCCTGCTTCTTCCGCTTTTTGCTCGGCTTTCCCCTTTTCCGTTGTTTCTGCAATTGAAGAATCGCAAGTTAGTACTCTGCAGAGGTTGATTGTAATATGAAGAGCTACAGCAAGTACCTCCGATCCGGTAGATTTAGCTGAACGATTGATAGAACCCTCAATCAGACCACTCTCTCTTAGGACCGATCGAACTTCACTCGAAAACAAAGCAGGGTTTTAGCAGGCTGCGATTGATCGAGTATCGATGCTCAGTCGTCAAGGACGAGGCCCAATGATCATTCTTAGGGATGCATCATCAATGTGGCTCTAAAATGATCGGAAAGCTAAGTTTTTTACTCTCCAGTGCCTACAGAGTCAGAGGGCCTGAGCTTGCACCGTCTACAACGCCCGTTGCCCAAGCCACTGTGCAGAGGCTAAATCGCAATGTGAATTTAATGAGGATTATGCCCAGAGGAGCCTTACGCTTTTGGCCTGCTCTTCCGCGAAGATACTAGTGTACACCTCCGGCTTAACCCTCTGCTTGACCACGTTCCAGAAGACGCCACCTGGCGACCGCCTCCTCGACCCGTCCGCGATGAGCTGGCCCCCAGCCCTCTCAATCGCCTCAACCTGCAAAGGACGTCGGTTGACATGCCCCATGAGTACTCTGCTTTCGAGGGCGCGCTCACAAAGAAACCTGCATAATCGAGGTGGGCGTTTCATCTGCAATGGAGCCAGACGGCCCAATCAGCGGCAGGAGGTTCCAGCCAAATCCAGGTGGGAATTACAAATAGCGATTGCTGGGTTTTGGGCCGGCAAACCAAGCAACGACGAGAAGCATGCGATTGCACTGAGATAGTCGCTGCTCTGTGACTTCTGCAAAGACGTTGCTAAAGTTACGAACGTGCACTGTAAGTCCAACATGAAGGCTAGCTTGGAAAGTAGAAGCGGAAGCGACGAATGTCCCTGTTTACTTCTCACCTCGACCATCAGCTGTTGCATGGGTTCCACTCCTAGGATTTTGAGGGCCCGCCAAAGCAGACCCAGCTTGGGCTCTTGCAGCCGCGTACTGGCAGCCTTTATGAACCTGTGAAAAAAGCAGTCTTTAGTTTATCCATATCCCTTGTCTTTTTCTGCCGGAACAAACGAGGGCGGTTCAGCCTGAAAAGCAGACGTTTGGGCCGATAACAGGGGCGCAGGCTTCCAATATGACAGCGTAGCGACAAGTTGATAGGAGCAGAATCGATCTAAATCAGGGCGCAAAGGATTCAAAGAAATTTAGCACACTAGGGCCTGGTACATTCAAGCTCGGCTTCAAAGAAGGTGAGCCTCACATTGCAGGATCCAGCTTTTCAGCCCTCTGCCGCTTGCGCCCCTTGTTCTCCGCTTTGCCGCCCCTGGCTTCCTCAACCATCTGATCCAAGTCCTGAGGACCGGCGCCTCTCTGCTTGGGATACTTCTTTGCATGTTCAATCACCTCCCTAAGATCAACTGGGCAAATGAAGTAAAAGCTGGGGGTCAGCTTGGTGTCATTCGAACACACGCAGAGAGCAGCCGGATGCAATGAAAAGCCTCCGAAGAGCTCGTCCGGTAAGTCATCTGCATACATTTACGTTAGCCGTTGGTGCATAGACAGAGAGGACTTTACAGAGTCTGAGCCTGATCCCCTTGTCCAAAAGCAAAGGAGCATTGGATGTCGTTAAGCAAGACACAAGGTTGCAGCATGCCAAGCCAGCTAGCTGACTGGGCAATTCTCAGCACAAGGCCCCAAGTCATGGCCGGCAGTGACGGTGGCACGTACCAGTTGGCTTTCCACTGCTCCCTGCCAAGTCATCCTCCTGCAATTGAGCTGTACTCCCCTCGACCTTCCCTTCTTCAAAAGCGTTCCTTGTGAAAGACCCTGCCGTTTCTTCACCTCCCGGACGAACAGGGGATGGCTCCAGTTCCATAGCCACGCCGTCCTCCCCCAACTGAGCTTCAGGCTCATCGCCCTCGCATTCCGAACCGTAATCAACCAACTCCTCGTCGTCTAGCTCCTCAAGCGGGCCAAGTCCATCCATGTTTTTTCCGCAAACACAAACAAAACCCAAACAAATTCCGAACACGTTGGCCTATTGTTTGTATGAAACAAACTCACTGCGCGCTCTGAATGCTAATAGCTTGCCGGATTCGAAGCGTCCGTCACCTCCCTAAAGAGCAGAAAGAGCGACCTACTTCGTAAGTTCTCAAAGCAACGTTCCCAACAGACTCCGCTGCTACGAGGTAGGGCGATTGCTACCTGGATTATCTCACCGGAAAAAAGCTTGTCGGAATGGACCAGCGTTTCTCCTGCAGGGAATGAGAGAAGCCATGCAATGTTCTTGACAATGACATTGAAAGCAGATGGCGGGAAGTTCATATACTAACCTCGCTTCCGACCAGACGGTGGCACGTGACTTGCCCTTCCTAAAAGCAATCTGCCCCGATGCTAGATCGTGGTAGATGCTTATCTTGCGTCGATAGGATTGCCCAAGAGTCTATGAAGTTAGCGACTTGTGAGGATCTCTTATAGACTCTGAGCCCTTAATTATTCCTATCAAGCTCATCGGTCGGTTCTCAAAAGTGGCAGCAACAGGAGTCCACTGGCACTACCACTGCCAGACTTGAGAGCTTCTGCGCCTTCCTCGCCCGAAAAAGCATGGAATTATCTTCCGGAAGGTTTGGACACGTGCTCTGCCAAACCACGGCTCCTAACCTAAGTCAGCTCAAGTTTACACTGAGCCTGGATCTGTTGGGTTTTAGGACCGGGTTCAGCAAATGACGGTAAATTTCTGTGCAGCAAAATCTAGGATTTCCCTTGACAGTGTTGAAGTCCATCTGGATTCTGCGTGTGCATGGGTGGTTTGTTTGTCGGACTCTTTCACTGTTTGTGTCACCTGACTCCTAAACCTGAGGTCCACTCTCTCACCAGTGAGTAGGGCAGCGAGAATCTTCCTTGCCCAGTCAGGCCGCAAGTTGGTGTATTCTCAGCAGAAGGACCTGTGGGGGGATTGCGGCGCGACCGCTTATTCCCGTGTAGTACCTAGCAAGACGTGGTGGAGGGCCTTGGAGGGACTTCCATGGCCGCAACTGTAGCTGTTCCGGCTGGGCGGGCCGCCTATCTTTCAAAATGCTCGTGCCACAGTCCTCACAGCCCTCTGCTAGGAAAGCAGAACATGCCTGGCACCCCTTCTGTTCCCCCTGGCTTGCAAAGAACAGTGCCTTTGTGGCCTCGCTGCGCTTCCTTGATTTCCAGCTTCGGAGAGGGTACATTGGGTTGCCTGAGCTTGACACTGGACATTGCCTCCGGGGTTTGTTCAGCAAGCCTGGTGCAAAATCCCTGGCCCCAGGGGATGAACTCCTGTTTCAGCAGACATATGCTCCACCTTCCAGGTCCTTATCTTCCCAGGCCTGTTTTACCTAGGGAACACCGGGCGCAGTGTTTGCAGGCCACCTCGGGGTCAAGGGGCTCTTTGACACCTCGTGCTTTTCTCGAAGACGACCAGCCGTTCCCCGCTACCGTAACTCAGCGTGACATGGCCGAGTTAAGCCTTCGAGCGCGCCTTGAATCGAAGTACAGCTCTCAGCTTGGAGCTGGCATCATAAGCACGTTTGGACGACATGACCTTTTGCAGCGAAAGAGAGACCTGAAGGAAAATTTCGGAGGCAGCCCTCCAGGGGGGGGGAAGAACAATGGACGGGGGAGAGGAGACGGCGGCGGCGGAGGTGGGGGGGGTGGAGAGGGCCAAACTGCGATTTACCTACTTCCCGTCCTGACCCTTGTGTTTGCGGCCGTTTTCCTTGGCTATGCTGTTGCGGTGGGGTTGAAAGAGGAGGGCATGAACATGGACTTCCTCCGTACGAGCGCCGGCCTCTTTGGACTATTAGCGTTGGCGGCATTCAGGGTAAACAAGTAAGTCGAATTTGCAACCCTAAAAGACATTGTGTATCTTTCTTGCTCCTCCTTCCACGATTTTCATTGTTTGAGAGTTTCGGAGTGTCCTATTACTTTTGGAAGCGAATGCTCAATGTGGAGGACGCTTCTGAAGCAATGCACTGGAATTGGGCTTCTGGCAGCGCTCTGACCATGGCCCTGTGGACTGCCTTTGGCGATCAAACATTCTGCCCTCTGGATTGTGACAGACATGTTGACTTCTTAAGGCTCTTTGTCGTAGTAAAGTCCGCTTGGACGTGGGTTTTGACATTGTGTTGTAACTTCATTGCTGCTTTTCCTCATCACTTGAATACTGTCATCATGTGTCAAGGCAACTTTCCAGTCGGTCAAAGGTCAGAAATGCTTCTTCTTTATTTAGGAGAGCGGAAAAGTGAAGCACGGAGTGCCAGGATTCAAGCTCCATAGGAGGAGGACACTTGACACGTCTTTTGAGTTGCCACATGCTTTGACCTGAATAATGTGAATGTGTGGTAAGTGGTTGCACAGATTACTTGAAGTGCCAATGGCGCATTCTATAGAAAGTTCAAAGCTTTACGTTGAGGGTTGCTTTGCAAGACGTTGGCTTGGCTTGATTTGTTACCGTCTAAAATTGCGCTTTTACATGTGCCTTGCAGTCAGACAGGAATTGATGCCTTCATCCTCGGGCTAGGCGCCTCTACAGCAGTGATGGTCTGGACTGGTAAGTCTAGCATCTGAGGGGCAGATTCCCTCTTGCCGCAAGTGATGCGGGGGAGCACGCAATTATTGCCTCTGTGTCCTACGCACAAATTTGCAAGTTTCTTGTTCTTGTCAAGGATATGGAGCTGCATTTGCTTGTTTCTACAAACAATGTGAGGATTGTGTGCCTATACTGGATTTTGGGGGGCAAGATGAAGAATCGAATGCTTGGATGTTGAATCAGATTCTTCTCTTGCATGGTGCAGGGGAACGGTTCGTTGTCAGAAAGGAGATTGCGCCTGCAGGGATCGTTACAATTCTGGCCGCGTCGATGGCTGTCATTTTCACGGGAGCTCTGTACCATAGCTTGTAACCCCTGCGGCGATGCCTCCTCCTGCAGCTGTAGGTGTGGCTATAAAGCGTAGGAATGTCGAGAGTCGTTTTCTCAACGTGCATCCCAAGGTTGCTACGTAACCTAGAAATTGTTGTAAAGGTGGCTTTTCAAATTGCAACTATGTACAGTCAGAGCAGGATCTAGTTCAAAGCATCACATAAACACTATGTACATCGCGAACGTGAAGAATTAAGCAGTAAGTAGGTTTGTTTGATAGGGATGTTGGCCGACCATGACACGATAAGTGTAAGATGGAATTCCAGCAGGATCTGGGATTCTATCTGTGTATCGAATCTTGCATGTCTGTCCGCCATTGCAAGTGCATACATGCAGACTTAGGCCTACTTCCATGACCGAGTAAGTCAGCCACGATCGGCTATAGGGCCGGTATATTGCATGATTCTTGCCGTCTGAGTTGAAGGTTCGTACTTGCGCATGCGCTCAATGCGCCCCATCCTGCCTACTCCAGGTAATCTCCTCTTGTGACATGACTAAAACATAATTGACATTTAAGAGCATGCTTGCATGCACCAATTCTGTATACTGGTGCATGCCAGCGGCGGCTGGCCATGCGGCTGCATCATTGCCATAATGAGCATGTCATTGCATACTCCAGTGGCACCACGTCGATCAGATACATATTCTATTATGCACGTATGTGCTATCAATTTCCATGAAAGGGACGTGAAGTAAAAACAGAATTTTAGATTATCTGTCAGGCTCGCATGTCGAGCATAGGATGTACAATCGCAACAAACACCTCATCGAGCTCGCAGCACGATCAAATATGCAGCCAGGCCGGCAGCGCGCCTGAGCTAGCTTGGATGCTTTGGATGTTGGTGGATGTCGGCTTATCATGTAAGAAGCATGCATGAGTGGGTACTTCTTGAAAGCTCACTGGATTTCCATCTCAGAGAGTATCAGTCAGGAGTGCCCCACCAGGCTGCAAGAGAGTTGCTTCGCATGAGACCGTTGCCTTTTACTCAGCCATGTTTCCAAAAACTTTCGTTTCTATGGTGTCCCCATGCTCTTCCATGAGCAGGCCGACTCCCGTCTCAACCAACCTGAGCAGACCAGAGATAGGAAGAATTGAGCAATTCACGTCCTGACAAATCGTAGTTCACTATCTTCAACCTTTCCAGCGACTTTTTCAATCTTTCCAACGACTTTTTCTCCACGATGTGCCAGGCAAACTTGAAAGCAGAGGAAGAGTTCTCGGACGGGACACTAGGAGCACCAGACTTGCCTTGATCTGAGAATATCATTTCTGCCATAGAAGGCTTACCTGAAGATGACTACGATGAACAGGCTCAAGTAGAAGCCCAGTTTTATAAGCCGGAGTCGCTTTTCTGCCTCCAGATCTTTGAAGATCTCCGTGACGTCCATGAGGTGGGAGTTTCTAGAATATCTGAAACAAACAATGGGAGGCGTTTCAAACCATGCTGATTCGCCAGAGAAGGAAAGTCTCTCGATCTATTGGACACAGATATCAACTGAAACAGATTTGACGGACGAGCTTCTTTTGATAATAAGATGTCGGCAGACTGAAGATCAAGGGGAGTCGGCTTGAGACGATCTCAGGGCTCACATTGAGGCCATGCGAACAGGCCTCAAGCTAGCCCCCTGACTCATTGGTGAAAACCATGAAACAAGGTTGTATCTGGTCAATGTTACACAAAAGGGTGCCATGGCCATCGGATTGCGTCAGAGGCAGAAACTCGTTCTAAAAGGCTGGAACAAAGCAGGCTTTTTGGACTTACTGCCGGGCGTGATACACCATGAGTGGCAGGTTGAAGAGGAACATAACCCAGTGTCCAGTGAGCAGCAAGAGAACGGTGAGTCCTGCGTGGCCCGCAAACTCTGGGATGACAAACTTGTTGATGCGCGCAGCAGAGTCGTGGGGGTTAATGAAGTCGTTTTCGAGGTCGGAAAGGCAGATCAGCTGCAGTTTAAAGCACAGTCTCATCAAATTTGTGCAAGAGAAACAGAGAATAACGCCCAGCAAGGGAGTACGGATGGCGTTGCTTAAAATATCTTCTCCATTAGTGGTTGAATGGTGAATGATTTCTATTTGGAATGGTGGTGTGCCCACTGGTTGAACAAGTCACATGCTTTTCTGCATTCCATGACTGAGAAATTGATGCCTTCTCTGTGCTACTTTGTACCACCACCAGCAGGATTTTATTCCAGAGTGAAAAGTCTGGAAAATAATGAGCGCACTTTTGGAGTTGCAGCAAGTGATGGAATGGTGAATAAATGTATGACAACGTAGACTTAGCAAATAGAGTATCTTTCAAGAAGAAGAGGTACAAATCATTGGCTAGAGACATTCAAAGAACATGCTCGCAACTGTCTCCAGCTGAAAGAGCCACGTTTGATCAACACTGCACTCACCGTGTACATCACAATGCCAAGAAGACCTGCGACAACCACAAATCCTGCCAGCCACAGCAGGATATCCCACGATATCATGTTCTATGGAAGCTCAGGACCTTGATGTGATGGTCTGGCTTCAACTTTGTTGCAAGCGGGGCAGCTATTACTGAAAGCTGCACTTTCTGCGATAGAATTTGGTTATCACTAAAAGCAGATGGCACTTGCATGTAAGGGAAGCTGTGCTCAAGCTCGATCACCACAGAGGAGCTGACAATTAGAAATGCTCCACAAGTGACAGCTAATGTTGGGCACAAGCGTTTGTCAAATGTCCCCCCTGTCGTGCGCATTCACGAACTTTAAGTTTGTCCTCCCTTTCCATTCTGAGAATCAGATCCCCTTCTCTTTCAATGCCAACCCAGACTCACGCCGACGGTCCGATTCGAGAAAACCACTCGAATTACCACCGGCAGTTTTCGAGTAAATCGCTCGGATTACGGAACATTCATTTCGAACGAATCCTTCGAATTTGCCGATGCTGTTTCGAAGAATTTGTTCGAAACCGCGAAATACGAACAAAACACTCGAATTTGGTACCGGGTCTTTTGCGCGATCTGTGGATCGTTCCGGGTGTATCTCCGCCGTCGATCTGATGGAACATCGCGACCCACAACATCGGTCGCTGTGGACCGCCAGAATCGCGGTACATAAAGGACGGTACCCCTATGGGTGGTTTGTCGGGGTGGCGGGCGGCTGCAACTTCCCGGGTGCCACGGACACTTCCCTCTAGACTAGTAGTTTAGGGACCGTGGCACCCGAGAAGCAACCGGGCCCTCCCAGTGACATTAGGGTCTCGCGGGCAACCGTGAGACAACCGGGCACTTCCCTAGAGCAACCGGGCCTTCCCGCTTTAGGGTTACACCACTGCGAGTGACAACCGAGCAAGTCCTTTTAGTTTTAGTGTGTGCCCGGGGCTTCCAGTAATTCGAACCTTTTCTTCGAACGGCGCTGCGAGAATACGAACGATTTGTTCGAAACCC